GCAGCCGCCACTGCCGCTGCTCCTTTCGCTGCCGCCGCAGCCGCTCTTGCCGCTGCTGCTGCACCTCCCGCTGCCACCGCTACCGCTGCAGCCACTGCTGCCGCGGCTCCTATTGCTGCCGCTGCTGCAGCCACTCTTGCCGCTGCCGCTGCTCCTCCTGCTGCCACCAGCCCTTGCTGCAGCTGCTCCTATCGCTGCCGCCACCGCTGCCGCCGCTCTTGCCACTGCCGCTTCACCTCCCGCTGCCACCACTGCCGCTGCAGCCACTGCTGCCGCCGGTCCTATTGCTGCCGCCACTGCTACTGCAGCCACTGCTGCAGCCACTCTTGCCGCTGCCGCTGCTCCTCTCGCTGCCACCGCTGCTGCTGCAGCCACTGCTGCCGCCGCTCCTCTCGCTGCCACCACTGCTGCTGCAGCCGCCGCTACAGCCACTCTTGCTGCTGCCGCCGCTCCTCTCTCTGCCACCACTGCCACTGCAGCCGCCACAGCCGCTCTTGTTGCTGCCGCCGCTGCCGCTGCAGCCACTGCTGCCGCCACTCCTCCCGCAGCTGCCCTTGCTACTGCCATCGCAGCCCCGCTGCCATCAGCCAGCTCGCCGCTGGCCCGCCACTCTCACCACCTCGCAGCCAGCTAGCAGCAGCCGCTTCCACCAGCTCCCATTGCAGCACCCGTCACTGCTCCCCTCTTCCTAGTCACACTTTTTCTCGTGCTATTCTAGCAGTATGCGCATGCTCATTGATGCACGCGTTGTGGCGGTGCAGTCCACGAACATGCACCCCTCCCCCCATGCGTATCCTCCTCCTGTGCACACAGCCATATGAGTACAATGGATGAATTAACGTTATTAGAGGCCGGCGTGCCGACATCAAGGCAGTGCTTCCAACACGCACCTCATAACCAATGCCGTGGGCGTACTGTCGAATTATATATATTTTATATATATTTGTTTAGGCTTGGTAGTTGTGCTACATTGATGAATCCTACTGTAGAGGGGATAAACCCCCCTTCTTGTATCTCCTTCTCTTTCTTAGTGACCCTCTTTTCTCTCGTAACTCTTCCCTCCTAGCTAAACCTCTCGCCCTCTCATGGCTACCTAGCGTCTACTTAGCCTTTATAACATGGTATCAGAGCAGGAGGTCCGTCCTGTTGGGCCGTCTCATCACGCTTCTGCAGCGTACTCTCCCCCCTCTCGTCACTTCCGCGCCGCCGTGGCGGCCATGTCGTGCTGCCATGGCGGCTTCGTCGTGCTGCCGTGGCAGCTTCGACCCGCTGCCATGGCGTCGACGCCACGCCGTGGCGGCGTCGTCGTGCCGCCATGGCGGCGTCGATTCGTCAACGCATGGGTGGCAGCGGGCTGCGCAGTGCGTTAGGCGCCAGCCAGCACGCCAGCCAGGGCGCCTCGATGAAGCCACGCCCCCTCCTTTGCAGCACCCCTCATTCCAGCCGCAGCTGATAAGTCTCTTCCCGGTCGTCGCCGAGCCGTGCCATGCCGCCGGGCGCCACGAGCTTCGCAGTCGTCGCTGCTGTCGTCGACGCCGCGGCCGCCGCCGCCGCCGCTGTCGTCGTCGTAGGAGCCGCCGCTGTCGTCGTCGTAGGAGCCGCCGCAGACACCATTGCCGCCACCCGCCGGGGGTGTCACCGCTTCGCACGAGGGGTAGCAGCCCCACCTGCTGCAGGACATGGGGAGTGCAAGGGAGTGGGGGTGTTTCGAGTTATATATATTTATATATTTGCCACTACCAAGCCTAGGGGGTGTGTCGAATTATATATATTTTATATATATTTGTTTAGGCTTGGTAGTTGTGCTACATTGCTGGATCCTATTGTAGAGGGGACGACCCCCCCTTCTTGTATCTTCTTCTCTTTCCTAGTGGCCCTCTTTTCTCTTGTAAATCTTCCCCCCTAGCTAAACCTCTCGCCCTCTCATGGCTACATAGCGTCTACTTAGCCTTCTTAACACGTACTGCATTAGACCGGCACGAACATCGAACAGGTGTACCGATGGAAGCCCCATGGCTTCCCAACTCGATGCTTCTGAGTTCACAAATATGTAGTCTGTGATCAGGAACAAGAAGTGCGCAAGTCCCTCTCCATGATGGCACCTGGGTATGCATCGGGGTATGTCGCACAAATACTTCAAGTACAGTATATCAAACAAGAATAATATTACAATGAACACAGCATGTACATATAGCAGGAAAAAGTGCATATTTTGAAGTAACAACTGTAAGACACCTCTCGATGAAACCTCTTTCTGTAGCCTCACCTTGCAACTTCTCGCTGCAACCTTTGCTGTATGGTTTAATCGTTGACAAGGTTGGCTATTGCCAACCACTTGCGTCCTCTCTAAATGAGTTAACGCGGAGCTTCGGGTGTGCGTGTCCTCTATATGATGTAACGCGCTACTTAGAAGAAGCGATAGCCAGGAGTGCTACTTAGGTGATCTTTGACAATCTTCAACAGTTACTGTATGAATGAAACTACCGAATAAGGAAATGACGAAACTTTGAACGAGTGAGTGACAATAAAATACGCTAAGTGATGAGACAAAATTGATGCAACATACAGTACAGTAAGAAATGAGTATTCAGGAATGTACTCTTTGAATATCATGTGCACTAGAACAATCACAAAGCTACGCTTCGGCACGTACTATTGAAATAAGCTAGGTAGCTAGGGAAGGGAAGCCATGGAATGGCGTGAGGTTTAGGAAGGAGATGTCGAGAGAGAAGGGGATTTCACTAGGAAGAGAGAGAAGTACAAGAACTGAGTTGTACCCTCTACAGTGGGATCCACTAACACCTACCAAGCCTATAATTATAGATGTATAATATATAATTTAATACACGGCGTAGTCTTGGTAGTCACAAACCCACCCCACATGCAACACCTCTAAGCCTAGCACCGCATACCCTGCAGCAGAGGTGACTGCAAGGAAGGAAGGCGCTAAGCATCCTTGAGCTGCGGCGGGGTGGAGCCAGCTGGCATGGCGAGGTGGGATCGACACGAAGAGCTGGGGAGGCGCGGCGAGCTAGAGTGCAGGCTTGCTGCCTAGTGCCTAAACCAGTGCGCGGCCCACTGCCGCCCGTGCGCTGACGCGACGACGGTAGCACGTCGGCAAGACGAAGCCACCACGTCGAGGCTGACACGGTAGAACGACAAAGTCGCCACGGCGGCGCGAAATTATCGAGAAGGGGGGATAGTACGCGGCGGAAGCATGAGGAGGCGGCCCAGCAGGGCGGACCTCCTGCTTTGAAACCATATTGAAATCTAGCTAGGTAGGAGGAGGAGCCATAGAAATGGCGAGAGGGTTTAGGCTATGAGAAAATGTCGAGAGGAATGAGAGTTGGAATAGAAGAGAGAGGAATACAAGAAGGGGGAGTTGTACCCTCTACAATAGAATCCAATAACACCTACCAAGCCTACCATATATACATATATATATATCAAATATATAATTTAACACACCCCCTAGGCTTGGTAGTTGAAAGCCCACCACACACACATCACACTAAGCCACACACCCCCTAACCCCCATACTCAGCAGCAGCGACGGCTACTCCAGCATGGTCAATCCCACGACGCGTAAGGCGGGGCAACATCGACAGCGAGAGCGGCTGCAACGGCGGCGACAGCGGCAGCGTCGACAACGGCGGCGGCGGCAGCATGCGGCGGCGTGGCCAGTGGCACCAGCTGCGGCGGCGGTGGCTTCAACGACAGCTGCCGGCAAAGGCGGAGCTCGCAGCACTCGGCGGCGTGGCCGGGCTCCGCGACGGTGAGACGGCCGGCGCGAGTTAGCCGTCGGCCGCGGCGAGGAAGAGGGAATGCAGGGGAAGGGGGCGGGGCTTCAGAAGCGGAGCCCGGGAGCGTGCCGCCCCGTGTGGCACGCTGGCTGCATGCGGGCGTGCTGGCCAGCGCTAAGACGGGGCGCTGGCGGCTGCCGTCCGTGCCGTCCGCGCGCTGGCAGCACGTCGCCACGGCAGCACGACGGCGCCGTCACGGCAGTACGACATGGCCGTGGCGGCAGCGCGAAAAGGACAGGAGCGAAGAGTGGAATGTGCGGAAGCGTGACGAGCAGGCCCGAGGAGCCGGACCTGCTCTGATACCATGTAAAAACAAGCTAGGTTAGGTAAAGGGCCATGGAATGGCGTGAGGTTTATGAAGGAGATGTCGAGAGAGAGAAGGGGATTCCACTAGGAAGAGAGAGAGGTACAAGAACTGAGTTGTACCCTCTACAGTAGGATCCAATAACACCTATCAAGCCTACAATTATGGATATATAATATATAATTTAACACGTACTCCTATATTCGAGCCTTCGGTTCGTCACCAGACTTAGATACGGACTTTCGGGATCCTTCGATACCCTTCCCGAACTGTCGGATCCTACGACCAAGAGTAGGCTAGGCATATTGTCTCATCAAATGTTACAAGTTGAGTAAAATTGAAATCTAAATCAAACCTCATCCGTTCTAATATCTTTGATGCCTTCAGTCATACCATAGTACGGGCAGGGATAGTGTTACACAAACTGCGAATTCTTGCCTCGCGCCGCGGTCAATATGCAGGACCAAGTCGGTGGGGTCGAATGCTCGCATCTTGAGGTACCGCGCCTCGCCCTTGAACGCGAGGGTGCGCGGTTCGCACCTGAAGGCGACTTCCCGCCGCTGTCCAGCTCAGGCTTGCGTGGCTGATGCGGGATCTTTTTCGCGTGGCATCATTTTTCGCCACGCTGCACTGTCAGCACGCAACTCTTATCACAAAATTACCCTGCATCCATAGTTCTCCTGCCAGGTCATCATCCATCACATCTTCAACCGATTTCATTCCGACCAATCCAACCATTGCATTCCATTGGGCGGTCACCGTCCCATCCACCTCAACACACATTCAACGAACCGCAATTCGGGGCGCAATTCGGCCGGTGTAGGCAGTCAAAATTTGTCGAGGTGAGTACAAAACAGGGGCTGGATTTCTTGATTTTAGCATATTCTCTATCCCGCCCAAACCTCGACAGGCTCTCCTTCCAGCAACTGCTACCGGCAGCATTGTTTCGTCTGCAGTCGTTTTTGCCAGACCGCTGCACCGCAGTTGATTTTGCCGGTGCACCCGCTAGGTGGCTCGGCTCGCTACTACCGCCTCCCTCACCCGAGCAAGGAGGTCACCTCAGCAGCCGCGGAGCGAGAGGTCATTAGCGAGGCGGACTGATGGCCGACGAATACTCTGAGGGGTATGGGGCAGGAGGAGGCGAGGGGTATGGGGCAGGAGGAGGTGGGTATGGGGCAGAGGAAGGAGGGGGGTATGGGGCAGAGAAACTTTCTCTGAATGAAAGGTCTGGGGGGGAGAATACTGAGGGGTATGCGGCAGAGGGGGGAGATGGGTATGGGGCAACGAAAAGTGGATACGCGGCAGAGGAGACTGGGGCAGAGAACACTGGTTATGGGGGAGAGGATACTGGTTATGCGGGGGAGAATACTGAGACTGCGGCGGAGAACACTGGTTATGGGGGAGAGAGCACTGGTTATGGGGGGGAGAACACTGAGACTGCGGCAGAGAACACTGGTTATGGGGGGGAGAACACTGAGACTGCGGCAGAGAACACTGGTTATGGGGGGGAGAACACTGAGACTTCGGCAGAGAACACTGGTTATGGGGGAGAGAGCACTGGTTATGGGGGGGAGAACACAGAGACTGCGGCGGAGAACACTGGTTATGGGGGAGAGAGCACAGAGACTGCGGCGGAAAACACTGGTTATGGGGGCGAGAGCACTGGTTATGGGGGGGAGAACACTGAGACTGCGGCGGAGAACGCTGGCTATGGGGGAGAGAGCACTGGTTATGGCGGGGAGAACACTGGGTATGGAGAGGAGACTACTGGGTCTGGCGCAGTTAATACTGGGTATGGGGGAGCGACGGGAGAGGGATATGCGGCAGAGGGAGGAGGGGGGTATTCGGCAGAGGGCGGAAGCGGGAACGGTGAGGAAGGTTACTAAGGAGGTCGAGAAGGAAGCCAAGGATGTCGAAGGGGACGACGTGGAAGCGGATGCTGGCGTGGACCTAGTGCAGACGTGGAGCACGTAGCGGAGTGGAAGCGGAGGGAAGAGGATGATGTTGAGGCGGGGCGTGACATTGAAGTTGGAAGAGGATACAAATGAAGACAGTGGACGTAGTGTATTTCTTTCCTTGCTAGTTTGCCTTCTTGGTGTTGCAGGTTTTTCAGTGTTAGTGCGATTTTATTATAACAATTCTTGCGCAGAAGCATCCAACTAAACCGTGTTCCATTAAAGCAAAACGCTCTCAATTCAATGGGGCCTTTCTTCCCATACCATCTGACCCAACCCAATGCACATCCCAAAGCCTTCACGGCTTTCCAACAATTACCAGAACACGGTTCTGAATCAGGTAGGGTGGTACCAGCTACCTCACGACAGACTATATCACAAAGCAGAAGTGGAGCACTGACTAGCTAGCAGCCTAGCCAAAACAATCACCAAGTGATGCTAACAGCAACAGCTTCAGTGCCAACAGCACTAACATCAGCAGCACCACCAAGTCCCACATCCCTCACAATCCTCATCCTCTCTTCCAACCCCCCTGCCTGCAGCAGCCTGCCAAGAGTCTTCCCCGTGTCAGTGTGCCGCACTGGCAGCAACAGCTTCAGCCCCAGCCCCAGCGGCAGCAAGGTCCGCCTCCCTCACGATCCTTATCCTCTCCTCCAGCCCCACGCAGTGTGCCTTGGGGCCAAACGCCTGGTCGCCTGCAGCCTGGTGCAGCATGAGCAGAGTCTCCCCCACGTCAGGCCCGTGCATGCGCCCCGTCAGCAGCACGCGCAGGGGCATGAACAGGCGCTTGCCCTTGGTTGTATGGATAGGGGTGTGAGGAATTGGGGGGAACGAGAGGGGGGTGCATGGGAGAGAAGACAAGATGAGAAGCAGAGGCAAGAGATGCCGCTGCATGAGTTTGTGACCAGTGAGCCACATTCGGAGGGCCATGAAGGCGCTTGACCTGTGTGAATGTTGCTGGTCACACATATGTCGCTGGTGACCCCTATCCCCCCATTCGCCACCAATCCTCTTCTCCATTCTCACTTCGTGGCCCACGTGTGCCATGTTCCATCCCCTCCAACTGCTGCCGCCAGCACATGAAGGCGCCTCATGGCACAAACGTCCTGTGCTCCTCATCGTCATTCCCACCCTCCGCGCCTCGTTCGCATGCCCACTCTCCACCTCATCGCCTCTCCCACCTTGCGCGCCCAGTAGCCCTCCCAAACCCCCTTTTTTCACAAGTCAGCCCCCCTGGCCACTGCTGCAAGCAGTAAGAGCAACCCACCCACTCCCATCCTCACCTTGCGCCCTGCAGCCTTCCCGAACCCCTTGATCCACTTCTTCCACGTGGCAGCCCCTCCCTCCACTGCTGCCAGCAGGGCACCGCTATCCCAATCCGCCAGCAGGGCTGTTCTCACGTCTGCAAGGCCGTCTTCCACCACTTCCTTGGCTTCGTCGCTGTGGAGAGAGAAGGTGAATGAGGGGAACGAGGAAATGTGGGGGGAGGGGAGGGTGGTCCACGTGCTGCTTGTAGCAGTGCACTGCTGTCCCAATCCGCCAGCGGCGCTGCTCTCACGCCTTCCAGCCCTTGCTCCACCACATCCTTGACTTCCTCGCTGGGGGAAGAGGAGGGGGCGGGGGGGGGGGTGGAGGGTGTTAGTTTGTGTTGGCTGTAGTGAGCAGCGCGCCGCTGTGCCAATCTGCCAGAAGGGGTACCCTTCCCAATCCTGCTGACTGATTACAGCCTCATCCCCCCAAACTCGCACCCTGCCCTCTGGCTACTGTGTGAGCAGTCCCCATGAGGACACACGAGCAGGCGCCATCAGGAGATCCCAAGAACGGCTCACACACATGTATTCACCTGCCCACCTGCTCTCCAACACGTGACTGCTTACTCAAGCGCCTCCCCAAGGGTGTGCAACCATGTGAGCCCTGCTCACCTGGCGAGTGTCTCCTTGAGCGGGTAAGCCAGCAGTGCCTCCAGCGCCACGTCTGCGTCAGTGACGAGCTCCAGGCCGTTGCGAACCAGCGCTGCTGCCATCTGCTCGGGGCGGTTGGGAGACGTGGAAAAGCGGGGGGGGGGGGGGGGGGGGGACGGAAGAAAGACGGTGGTGGGTGCTGGATTGTGGGGATTTGGTTATGGGGAGAGGAGGAGAAAGAGAGGGGAGCGAAAGGGAGGCGCAGGAAATGGGAGGGAGTGAGCAAGCAAAGCCACTCGTATGCGCAGCACCAAGCACTCGCTGCACCACACTCTCACTGCTCCTGCCCCCTGCTCTATCCCCTGCCACCCCACCCCTCCCCACCCCACCCCACCCCTCCCCTCCCCTCCCCACCCCACCTGCACGGTGCTGCTGCTCGTATCTGCTGACGTCAGCAGGCCGCTGGCGTGCCACTGTTCAGCGAGCACCTGCGTGGAAGCTTCCTCGTCCAGCTGGCGGAAGTGCTGGCCGTTGATCCACCGCAGCTTGGCGTTGTCGAAGATGGCAGCGCTCTTGGTGACGCGGGAGAGGGAGAACTTCTCAACTGGGGGGAGGGGAAGGGGCGTGTGGGTGGAGGGGAGTGGGTGGCAGAGGGAGAGGGGAAGAGGAAGGCGCTGATCAAACGCAGCTAGGCGTTGTCGACACGGCAGCTCTCTTGGTGATGCGAAACAGGGATGGGTGAATGGAAGGGCACGGCAGCAGCATGGGGACCTTAGCACAGGGTACGGGGTTGAAGACCATCGGATGGTGCAGCGCTCTTGGCAGGGAGGGCTTCTGGCTGACAGAGGGCAGGGGAAGATTCGGAAGGGAGAAGGCGGTGTGAGGAAGGAGGGGGTGCGCATGGCAGGGTTTTTATGGCTCAAGGCAGAGGGGCTGCTCTTGATCGGGAAGAGGGGGAGGTGTTGGTTGGTTGCAGCCAAGAGGAGGGAAAGGAGGGCCGAGCAGGGAAAGGGATGCGGGGTGGGGGGGACGGCAGGAGGAAAACACCACAGGCACGGTGGACTGGAAGAAGGAAGAGCGGGGGAAGGGGCAGAGCGAAGCACAGGCAGCCCTGCTTCACCAGCGCACAACCTACATGCAACCAGCACGCACCTAGCTGCGTGGGCGTGAAGATCTCGTCCTCCGTGCCGTCGTTCCACCCCAGCAGCGCCAGGTAGTTCACCATGGCCTCCGGCAGGAAGCCCAGCTCCTTGAACTGTGCCGCGCAGGGACGGACGGACGGGCAGGGGCGAGCAAGGCATGGGCGTGTGGGAGGGGCGGGGAGCCCAATCCACCTCTGCAGAGCCGGGTAGTTCGCCATAGATCTAGGCATGCTGCCCAGCTGTTCGAACTATCTTCGTGTAGCCAGGGAGACATTTCCATCACTCATTCACAATAAGCAGCGGTAGCTACCAGATGGCTTGGGGGGAGTCCTTTGAAATGAGGGAGAGAGTGAGGGCAGATGGGAAGGGCAGTTCAGGCATTCATGCATTCAGGCATTCATGCATTCAGGCATTCAGGCATTCAGGCATTCATGCATTCAGGCATTCATGCATTCATGCATTCAGGCATTCAGGCATTCAGGCATTCAGGCATTCATGCATTCAGGCATTCAGGCATTCAGGCATTCAGGCATTCAGGCATTCAGGCATTCGGGCATTCATGCATTCAGGCATTCATGCATTCAGGCATTCATGCATTCATGCATCTCAACAATGACATAGTCGCATAGCGTCGGAGAAAATGTGGGGGGGTGCACTTGCTTCACGCTCATCCTTTCCCCACTTTCGCTCTGCACTCTTCCCCCTACTCCCTACCTACTCCCTACCTACTCCCTACCTACTCCCTACCTACTCCCTCCCCCTTCCCTTTCTCTCGACCCCCTCACCTCGCAGTCCCCCCCACCTGCCCCACGGAGGTGGCTCCATGGCGCTGGGCCAGCTTGGAGCGGGCAGGAGGGAGGGATGAGAGTCGCCTGGCCACCCTCTCCCCCTCTCGCCACCCCTCTTCTCGCCACCCCTCTTCTCCTCCTCACCTGCCCCACGGAGGTGGCGCCGTGGCGCTTGGAGAGCTTGGAGCGGTCAGGGGCGAGGATGAGCGACACGTGGCCGAACGTGGGCATGGGGAGACCCAGGGCCTGGGGGAGGGGGAGGGGAGAGAGGAGAGGAGACGAAGGCAAGGCAATGTGGGGCAGCTGAGCAGCCCTTATGTGCGCTCAAGGAGGGCGAGAGGCACGTGGGTGCAGGTGGGCATGGGCAGGCCCAGGGCCTGGAGGGAGGGAGAGATGGGGGAGAAGAGGGGGGAGACGAAGATTGGAGGTTGAATGCCCTTGATGGGGCGTGGAAGGGGGCATGAGGGCATGGCGTGCATGGGGCAAGGATGCATGCGCGGGTGGGAGGCAGTGCGAATGCTAATGCGAGCACCCACCTCGTAGATGAGCGCCTGCCGCAGGGTGTTGGGCAAATGCTCCTCCGCTCTGATTGGTGGGATAGGGAAGGGAAGAGACGACCAGGTTGGGTGTGGGTGTGGGTGTGGATGTGGGCGTGTGCGTGAGCTTGTGTGTGCTTGTGTGTGCTTGTGTGTGCTTGTGTGTGCTTGTGTGTGCTTGTGTGTGCTTGTGTGTGTGTGTGTACTTGTGTGTGTGTGCATGTGTGTGTGTGTGCACTTGTGTGTGTGTGCATGTGTGTGTGTGTGCACTTGTGTGTGTGTGCATGTGTGTGTGTGTGCACTTGTGTGTGTGTGTGTGTGTGCTTGTGTGTGTGTGTGTGTGTGTGTGTTCCCACGTGTGTGAGCGAAGCATGGCGTAGAGCCTTCGGCCCAACGGCACCAGCGGCATCACTGAAGCGCCCACTTCTTGCATGGAGATGGGCTACGGGCTACCAGCTGCCCTTGACGCTGTCATGTGTTGATGTGACGATGGCATATGCCCATTTCCCTGATTCGCATGCTGACGTGGCAGCACATCCACTTGCCTCACCTGATGACGCGTGGGATCTCCATGGTGGCATCATCCACAATCACGCGCAAGGCGCGCAATGCTGTCATCCCAGCAAAGCAATCCGTTCTAGCAGGCGATCGCGAGCCCTCTATCTCGCCTCGCCCCCCTAGCAATGCCACACACCCATCCCTGGCGGCTCAGCTGACCGGATGACGTGGGAGATCTTCATGGTGGCGTCATCCACGGTCACGCAGAAGTTGTACACCGGCTGCCCGTTGCTCCTCAGCACCACAAAGTCGCCCAGCGTGTCCGTGTTCCACGCCACCTGGCGGGGAACAGGGGTCAAGAGTGGTCAAGAGTGGTCAAGAGTGGTCAACAGCAATAAGCAGAAGGTGTGCCAGGGCCAAGTGTTGCCTGAGCACCACAAATTCCCCCAGCGTGTCCCCCACGCCACCTGGTAGGGAACAGGGGCCAAGACTGGTCAAGACTGGTCAAGAGTGGTCAACAGCAGTTACCAGAGCAGTACATTGGAAGTCTGTTGCCTGAGCACCACAAAGTCCCCCAGTGTGTCTGTGTTCCACGCCACCGGGCAGCAATGGTCAACAGTGGTCAGGCATGCTGGGTCAACTGTGAGCTGTAAATGGGACAGAGCTGCCTGCTGGGCCATCCAGCAGGCACACGCCTGAATCCACAAGCGCACTTGCCAAGAAAACCAGACGAGGGTATGAGCCGTACGGACTGGGTGTGGACGCCCTTGGCCAGCTTCCATCATTTGTCTTCTAGTTCTCTCACCTCCCCTCTAACGAGGTCGTTGATCTTGATGACTTTGTTGGCCGGCACTCGGAACCGGAACGAGTGCGGTGTGCCCTTCGCCAGCTCCGCAGCCACCTCCTCCTCGCTGGCAGTGGCCCACTTGCCCGCGTACTTGGGAGGAAGCTTCTTCGCCTCCTGCTCCGCCTTCATTGCTGCTAGCTCCTGCAGAGACGAGGGCGGGGGGGCGACGGTGAGAGAGGAGTCCAGCAGCACAAGGGTGAGGTGCCACGCGGAGACCAGGGCGGTAGGAAGGACGGCAGCACTTGGGCGGCAGCTTCTTCGCCTCCTGCTCCGCGTTGATCGCTGCTAGCTCCTGCAGGACAAAGCTGGTGCGGGAGAGGGGAGAAAGGAGGGGGGAGAGGGGAGAGGGGAAGGGGGAGGGGAGGAGGGAGGGGGGAGGGAGAGGGGAGGGGAGAAGGGGAAGAGGAACGAACGAAGTGGGAGTGAGAGTGGGGGGATGCAGGACTGCGGGATGGGGCGAGAGGCGGGGAGGCAGGGAAACCGCAAGGGGGTGTGTGATGGGGTTGACGGCGGGGAGCAAGAAGGGGAGTTATGAGGATGTGAGGGTGGATTCCCTAGCTTCCTGGACTCCACAAGCCACACCCACCCCCACCCATCCCTCTCCCATCTTCCAGCACTCCCTCTTTCTCCCCCCATCCTTCCCCCGGAGCCCCCCCTTGCCTGTCAACCACCACCCCACACCCTCACCTCATCAGAGCAGAAGCAGCGGTACACCATGCCCGACGCCAGCAGCTTGTCGGTCAGCTCGCGGTAGATCTCGTTGCGCTCCGACTGCCGGTACGGACCCAGCGGGCCGCCCACGTCGGGGCCTGGTGGCAGTGAAACGAGGAAGGGAGCAGGGGACAGGGGGCAGGGGGGAGGGGGGAGGGAGGAGGGGGGAGGGGGGAGAAGAATAAAGGGAGGAGGTAAGCGGGGAGGGGGCAGGTGGTGGCGCATCTCGGCGGTCCAAGTGGCAGAACGGGGGCGGAGGGCGGCGGGCGTGAGAGGCAGGGCGCAAGAAGAAGGGGGCACAGGGGTCAGCTCAGCAGGGAGGACACGGGGAAGCGAATGTGGGGAAGCTGCAGGAAAGAAAGCCCTGTTTTGGGTTCGGACACAACCCCTAATGGCTCCCCTGACCGTTTTACCTCCTTCCCAGTCAAAACCTCACAACGTAGCTTCATCCCAGTCGCATATCACCCCCACCCCCCATCCCCCCACCTCCCATCCCCCCATCCCCTCCGCCCCGTACAATTAAGTCGCACTCAGGCCTCACGGAGAGCACCAGTTCCCTCACACACCATCGCCTCAGTCAGCCCCCCTCCCTTCCTCCCCCTCCTCCCCTCCCCTCCCCCTCCCCACCCCCCACACAATGCCCCCCCCCGGCATACCTTCGTCCCAGTCGAGCCCCAGCCAGCGCAGGTCGCGCACCATGGCGGCCTCGGACTCCGGCGTAGAGCGGTTCAGATCGGTGTCCTCCACGCGCAGAACGAACTTGCCACCCGTCGCCCTGCGGGGACGAAGTGGGGGGGTGGGGGGGGAGGGGGGAGGGAGGAGGGGGAGATGGGGGGAACGGGGAGGCGCGGAATCGAGGATTTGGGGAGGAGAAGGGAAATGCGGTTGGAGAAAGGAGAATGGCATGTGGCGGGCGAACGAAGCCGAGAGAGCAAGCGGAGAGAGGGCGATAGGAGGAGGCACAGGGAGGGACGCAGGAGACGCACTTGGAAGCAAGTGGAGGACCGGTCTAGGAGGAACGGGCAAAAACGCTTGCGGTGACGGCCGCCAGTCAACTCTCGCAACCGCCGTCTGCTGTGACGCCCGTCTGCCCTCTGTCAACCCTCGCATCCGCAATTCGTCAACTCCAGCAAGCGTAGCCAGACGCCTGACATCATGCGCACTCCGTGTTCCGCTGGCCTCGTTAGGCGCACAAGAATCGATGATCGGTCGATGTTCCATCCTTCGTCGCCAGTGATGGATGCTACCAGCAGCATGGGTACTGCGCGTACATCACAGGTGCTCTGCGTTTGAGGCACCTCAAAAGCCGACTTCGTCGCCAGTCATGGATTCTACCATTACGTACAGCGCGTACGTTATAGGTGCTCTGTGTTTCATCCGTCCAAATCACGTCTCAATTCGACTGCCCTGCGTTCTGCGAGCCGTCACGCTTGATGATGCGGGCCGTCTGAAAAGGGCTAATTCGGACCTGTTTTTCGAGGACCTCCTTGCTAATTCGAGGCCTTCGAATCTGATTGTGCGTTTTCGCAACCGTTTCTTTTTCTACATATGGATCTCGTCGTTTGTCCGGAATCCCTCGCACGCGCACCTGGCGAAAAGCCAGTTGAACAGCGCCGTGCGCGCCCCGCCCACGTGCAGGTTCCCCGTCGGCGACGGCGCGAATCGCACGCGCGGCTTCCCGTCGCTCCCCGCCGTCGCAGCAGCCCCCTTTGCGTCGCAGCGAGCGCCGCGGCTGGCGGCGCGCCTCTGCGCGACCTGCGGCGATTTGGCGTCAGCCGAAAGGGCGACTTGGCTGAGACTGAGCCCGGAAAAGAAGGCCTTGGAAAGCGAATGTGTCTGCGACAGGCGCTGCGCTGCTCTGCCGCCGAGGGATCGCGCGACGGAGTACGGCGCTCGCGCCGCTGCCTGCGATACTGCCGCCATGGCTGGCGCCTGTTGGGGCAGAACGATTTGGAATTCGCGTCACGCGTGAAGGCAACCGACAAGGGCGAGGCTCTGCACGCGCAGTGCTGCTCGCTGCGGAGGTCGAGAGCGCGTGAAACGCGTCAGCCCGGTGCAAACGGGAAGGAGAAACGCACGCCAAATGGAGGAATGGCTGCCGCCGTGGGAAACTAGCTCGTGCCTGGGAATCTCGAGGTTCTCGTCTTCCTTCGGAATTCCCTTCCGTCCTGGCTTGAGCCCAGTTGCAGAGAATCGCGAAGGAGGTGGCGTCAGCAGCAGGGTGAAAGGGAGTGGAAATTCGTGAGGCTGACGGGGCGTGGCGAGGGTGAGAGACGTGGCGTCAGAGAGTGCCACGTGGAGTTGCGACATCGCGAGCTGATAGGGCATTCCGTGCAGTAAGGATGGCAGAATCCAGTGTGTGGCTGCCTCGGTAAGGCAGTTACATCGTGCTTCTGTTTGAACTTCGAGTATGCGTATAAAGCATGTTTAGCAAAAAATTTATGTTACAATCAAAGCACAAAAAGGGACTAACCTCACTATAGTTCTAAGTTACAGCCCACGCATCGTCTCAACCTCATCGCTCAAATATCTTCCAACCTCAGCCGCATTCTCATAGCCTCCCTCTACACACCATCCCAACGCAACACCGGTCAAGTAGTTCCCCCCAAGAAAGACCCCTTGCATCCCCGCCTCTTTAATCCCCTCTCTCGCAGCCTCGATCCTTCCCAGGTGCCCTATGTTTAGCTGGGGAACGGAGCGGGGCCACACGCGCACTCCGAGGGCCAGGGGCGCGGGGGCAGAGGGATGGAGCAGTGTGGTGCGCATGTCCCGATCCACGGCTGCTATGAGGTCAGCTGGGGACTGCATGGCGAGTGGAGGAAGGAGCAACGGGTGGGTGGTGAAGAGAGGGGAGAGAGGGTTGGACAAAGCCTGAATTTACTCCCACTGTGCAGCTGGCCAGCTTGGATGGCAGCTGCCCACGTGCAGCTCAGTCAAAAGAACAATGTGCAAGTCTTTCTCACCACACTAAACAGTTGAGTCAAGCAGACCACAACAGAATGCACCCACCATTTGAGTGACCGCGTCGTTCCCTGCGCCGCCCACATAGCAGATTACTAGCACTCGGCCGACGGGGGCTCGATGGGGGAAGAGAGCCGAGCTGTAGATGCAGCCTGGGAAGAGGGGAGCATGGGCAGAGACGGAGGGGGGCCGGTGGGAGAGGTGCTTCTGAGCAGCTTTAAGTGCTAGCAAGCACCTCGACGGGGGAAGAGCGCCGTGCTGTAAATGCAGCCTGGGGGGGAGGGAGGGCAGGGGGGCGAAAATGGCATGACGCGCCCCCATGAATGGAGAAAGCAGAGTCGTTGATGCAGCCCAGGGGAGAGAACGGTTGAGCATGAGAATGCAGGACAGGAAGGTAGAACGGGGAAGAGGGCACGAAAATATTGGAAACTCCGGCAATCATCTCTTTGCCTCGAGCTCTAATTGCCTTGTCATTCCTTTTGCTCCCCTTCCAGTTTTTTCCCCCATCCACGCCTTCTCTCCCTAGACTCTACCCTGCCGTGCTCACCCCTTGCTGTGTGGCCACTCCTGCTCCCTCACTCCCACATTCCCCCAACCCCCTCACACACTCACCCAGAGTCGCCAGCCCCTGCGAGCTCGGGTGCAGCTGCCCATACCCCCTTAGCTCCCCTGCCTTCTCCGCCCCCTCCCTCACAGCAGTGGCTGGGTACGACAGCGCCACGGACGCCATGGGCGGGTAGGGAATGGCGGTAAGTGCATCTGCTGCTGTGGGCTGGGGAGGGGGGAGGAGGGGGGGGAGAAATAGGGAAGGGGGTGGGCATGGTGGTTCAGGTCGAGTAGCTTAGCTGGGTGCAAGAGCACCACGGATTCCTTGGGCGGGTGGGATGACGGCTAGGGCAGCAACGGCTGTGGGCTGGGGAGGGAGAAGGGCTTTGGGTGGAGAGAGGTGTTTATAGAGCGCCACAGAAGCCATGGATGGATGGATGGATGGATGGATGGATGGATGGATGGATGGATGGATGGATGGATGGATGGATGGATGGATGGATGGATGGATGGATGGATGGATGGATGGATGGATGGATGGATGGATGGATGGATGGATGGATGGATGGATGGATGGATGGATGGATGGATGGATGGATGGATGGATGGATGGATGGATGGATGGATGGATGGATGGATGGATGGATGGATGGATGGATGGATGGATGGATGGATGGATGCATGGGAAAAGGGTATGCTGCAGCAGGAGGGGGTATGGAAGCGCAAAAGATGCCATTTGGGGGGGTGGGGGGGTGGTGGTGAAGGATGGAAGGGAGAACACAGACGGAAGGAACTGAGAAGGAGCTGAGAAGGAACTGAGAAGGAACTGAGAAGGACCTGTGACCCTCACAGAGAATGGCCTGATGACGTCAGCAGCAACATAAGCAGGTACGGTTAGCAGCACAGAGCGAGCAGCCACTTGTGTTGTGCCATGTGGCGTGTCGTAGGTCAGAACAACCCCCCCTTGTGCTCGCTGCTGCACGCCCACCAGCCGCCACCCCACACGCACTCTGCTGCCTAGCCTGTGGCAAGTAAGGGGCGGAAAGGGGAAGCAAAGGGTGGGCGGGTGGGGGAGAGGAGGGGGAGGGAGGAGGAGGGGGTGGGGGGATTGGGGGAGCGGAGGGGGAGGGAGAGGCAGGTTGAAGGGGGGGGTTGAATGGTTTGTTGTGGCATGGCGTGCCGTAGGTCAACAACCCCCCCCCCTTCTGGCCACTGCTGCGATCCCACCAGCAGCCACCCCACACGCACTCTGCTGCCAAGCCTGTCATGCGTGAGGAGTCTATTTTTGAGGCGCCTCAAAACCATGCGTGAGGAGTCTATTTTTGAGGCGCCTCAAAACCATGCGTGAGGAGTCTATTTTTGAGGCGCCTCAAAAATACACCCCACACGCACTCTGCTGCCAAGCCTGTCAGAACGAGGGGCAGGTGAGCGGAGGAGAGGGATTGGGTCGTGAGGTCCTACAATGGGCAGCACGCCCGGCCCCTCCCCGCTGCTTCAGCAAGCCCTCCAGTTGCCACCCCACACGCCCCCTGCTCCCAAGCCCAAACCCAGCCAGTGCTGCCATTCCTGCTACCCAAGCCTACCTTTCAGCCATGGCACGCGTGAGAGTGACGAGCCCTGATCGAAAGGAGCCCACTGATTGGCCCTGAGGCTTGGGGAGACGGCTGCACGTGTGGGGAGGGGAGGTTGGGGGGAGGAAGCACAGACCGACGGACATGGGGGAGAGAAAGGAGACGGCGTGAGAGGGGCGAGCCCTGTGCACAAAGAACCCCCTGCTTGGCTGTGAGGCGCGGGGAGACGGCTGCACGGAGGGGATGAGCGGAGGCTGGGGGAGTGGAGCGAAGGCAGACGGACATGGGGAACGAGACGAGAAGGTGCGGCAGAGACCAGCCCTGAGCGGAAAGAAACCCACCCACTGGCCCAGCGCCGTTGGGAGACAGGTGCACGAGGAGGGAGGATGGACGAAAGGGGGTGGTTGGGGATGGGGGAAGGTGCCAGAGGGAAGGCGCGTGGGGTATAATGAAGGGAGAACAAGGGGTTGAGAGGCGATGGGAAGTGGTGGGTGATGGCATGTGGTGCAGACGCGGTGCAGCAATGCAGTCGCAGTGATTTACTCAGCGATGCAGTCGCAGTGTCGCCAACAGGCTTTGCCGGACTCCTTCTCCTTCTCCTTCTCCTTCTCCTTCTCCTTCTCCTTCTCCTTCTCCTTCTCCTTCTCCTTCTCCTTCTCCTTCTCCTTCTCCTTCTCCTTCTCCTTCTCCTTCTCCTTCTCCTTCTCCTTCTCCTTCTCCTTCTCCTTCTCCTTCTCCTTCTCCTTCTCCTTCTCTTTCCTCTTCTCCTCCCAGATCTGCAGTCTGTCGCCCAGCGCCATCCTCTATGTGCCATGATCCGTTGAACGCACTTACGGGTTGCGAGGCGCAGCACTCTCCTTCGCCTTCGTCCTCTCCTGCGCCAGCTGCACCATTCCATTCAGCAGCGAGCCCCCCTCCGCCTCCATGCGCCATATGCGGTTGAACGCTGCCCGCATGCTCATCTGCGCTGCATCCCCTGCGAATATGCCTGCAGGGGGGAAGGGGGCGGGGGAGGGGGGTGGGGGGGGGGACAGTAGTGGGAGAGAGGGGAAGGGCGGGATGGTTGTATTGGAAACTGTGAATACCGCTTGCTTGATATGGTTGAGTTGCTGCGTATGCCATGGAATGTGGAAGGAAGGGCTGCTTGGTTGAGGAACGGGTCGTGGATGGCAAGAAGCAAGGCCGCTGCATAAGAATCTGATTCCAAGTTGATTGGGTTGCAAAGATAGGAAGCAAGGGGGCGTGGAGATGTAAATACTGACGGGGTGGAGTGAGTACGAAAGCAGAAGCGAGGGGAGCACACTCTACACCAGAGAGGAGGAATCATCACAGGAGCAGAAGGGGTCGACCAGTCGGTGCAGCAGTTGAGGGCCGAGGATGCGAGACACAAACTCCGACACGCTCTCCTCCGTGCTGCTGGCTGCCTGCTGGCACGGGGGGGTGGGTGCAGGGCGGACATGCAATGCACTCATGGGTGAATACAGCCCAAAGAGCAACTTACTGGAAAGCCCAAAGAGCAACTTACTGGAAAGCCCCAGTCAGTAGTGGTGCCTCACCTGGGCTGCTCCCCACCTGGGCTGCTTCCCACCTGGGCTACTCTGACCCCTGCGAACCCCAGTGCTGCCCGTAGCTTCCCTCCCAGCGTGATCAGGTCAGAGGAGATCAGATCGCCGGGGCCCGAGGGAATGGGACGCAGCTTGCCGTCCCAAAAGACGTAGCGGGGAGCGTCAGGAGCTCCGAGCACAAGGTCGGGGAGAATGCCACAGTCGAGCTGGAACGGGGGTGGGGGGTGGGAGGGGCGCGCCATGGGAGTGGTGCGGCATGAGAAGGGAAGGGGGAGAGGAAGGGAGGGGGTGGAGCACGAGGCTGCGAACACCACAGCCGAGTTGGGAAGGGTGGGGCATGGCAAAGGGGGTGGGAAGAGGAGGGGGGGGGGGATGGGGGGGGGGACTGCATGGGCTGCCAGGGAAAGGCCGCATGAAGAGTCCGGAGCAGCGAGCACGAGGCTTGGTAGAATCGCACGAGGCTTGGTAGAATAGCACGAGGCTTGGTAGAATAGCACGAGGCTTGGTAGAATAGCACGAGGCTTGGTAGAATAGCACGAGGCTTGGTAGAATAGCACGAGGCTTGGTAGAATAGCACGAGGCTTGGTAGAATAGCACGAGGTTCGGTAGAATAGCAGGAGGCTTGGTAGAATAGCAGGAGGCTTGGTAGAATAGCACGAGGTTTGGTAGAATAGCACGAGGTTTGGTAGAATAGCACGAGGTTTGGTAGAATAGCACGAGGTTTGGTAGAATAGCACGAGGTTTGGTAGAATAGCACGAGGTTTGGTAGAATAGCACGAGGTTTGGTAGAATAGCACGAGGTTTGGTAGAATAGCACGAGGTTTGGTAGAATAGCACGAGGTTTGGTAGAATAGCACGAGGTTTGGTAGAATAGCACGAGGTTTGGTAGAATAGCACGAGGTTTGGTAGAATAGCACGAGGTTTGGTAGAATAGCACGAGGTTTGGTAGAATAGCACGAGGTTTGGTAGAATAGCACGAGGTTTGGTAGAATAGCACGAGGTTTGGTAGAATAGCACGAGGTTTGGTAGAATAGCACGAGGTTTGGTAGAATAGCACGAGGTTTGGTAGAATAGCACGAGGTTTGGTAGAATAGCACGAGGTTTGGTAGAATAGCACGAGGTTTGGTAGAATAGCACGAGGTTTGGTAGAATAGCACGAGGTTTGGTAGAATAGCACGAGGCTTGGTAGAATAGCACGAGGTTTGGTAGAATAGCACGAGGTTTGGTAGAATAGCACGAGGTTTGGTAGAATAGCGCACTCTAGCTGCGGATTGGAGGAAAGGGGAGGAGTGCGGTCGGTGGAGGAAAGGGGAGGAGACCGGGTGGGATGGCCGGGGAGAGAGAAGGAGGAGGGAGGAGGGAGCTTAGGGAGCAGCGAGCACAAGGTCGGGGAGAATGCCACGCTGTAGCTGGGGTAGGGTGGGGTGGGGCATGGCAAATGGGAGGGGGGCAGGAAAGAAGAGAGGCGGGGTGGAGCAGGGTAACAATGTTACTCACTGCGCATTGCAGCATGGTAACCAGGTAACAAGGTAACTCACAGCGCATTGCAGCATGGTAACCAGGTAACAAGGTAACTCACAGCGCATTGCAGCATGGCATCGCTGGGTTGGAAGCTGTGCGGCCCCTCCTCCCACACGTACCCCTCCCGCTCCGTGCCCGCCTCTCCCTCCACTGTAGTCACATTGCCTCCCACGCGGTCCCGTGCCTCCGTTACAAGCACGCGCGGCACTGTAGCGGCGTGCTTCGTTACTAGCGCGAATGCGGCTGAGAGGCCCGATACCCCCGCGCCTACCACCACGCAATCCGCGTCTTCAATAATCAACGGCTCAGACTCATCCGCGTTGCCAGAATTCTCGGAAGTGGAGAAGGCCGTCCCTGCTCGCCAGTTTCTTCTGTGCGCATCCGTGGCGTATCTGGCATACCTCGCACCGGCAATACCGGTGCCGGGACATCGGGGATGCTGTCGGCGAGAAGAGAGAAACGGCGGCCCTTCTGTGCTTGTGCGTGTGCTCGCTCTTGCGCTCTGGGAACTGCGTGCGGTCAACGGCCAAATGGCGCGGGATACGACATGGTCCGAGGAATGCGCGGGAAGCAGGGCGAATGCGTCGTTTAGCGGGGAGCATTGTAGCGGAGACGAATCGGGGAGCGCTGTTAGGAGGGGTTTCGACGCGATTCCGTGCGCGGTGTGCGGGCGAAGCAGCGCCATCACGCCCTCGCCTCAAAGGGTGACCGCGCGGCGGAATCTTGAGCGAAGCTGACTCAGGACGTGCGAGACGGCTGCGAGACGGCAAGGATGCAGTCGGCCGGTGTGGGTCTAGAGTCTGGACGCATCTGGGCGGAAGCCTCGGGCGTCGATGACTTGCGTTCCAGGGACTGCGAGGTGGGATGCTATGCGACTCGATTAAATGCGGTTACCAGCAAAGCAGAATGTCCTCTCCCGCTCGCCCGTTCGGGGAGCTACTCTCTGTGGACTGCGGGGATGGCGCCTGCGAGTTTTGTGCAAGCAAGGAACGCAGGAGCCGTGGCTCGCATGCATTGGCAAATGGATTTGTACTCGTTTGCGGGAACCCTGCGCAAGAGCCGAAACAGCAGCTTTCATCAGCTGACATGCTTACACTACTTCCACGTCTAATGCTGTACAAAAAAATGTGTGTACCCAACCCAATCAGTCCGGAATCATTGCATTGTACAGCACACGAAAGCATAGCAAGTATTGTACATAACTAGCTGTTCACAAAGGCAAGTACAGTAAGGTTGGGAACCAGCGCTTTGTGCGGCAGTTGCTTGCCAGTCTTGGGCGAGACAGTGTTTTCCTTCAGCCAATCCTCGATGAAGCGCCTCTCGTAGGTGTACCCATCGGGGGCAATCACAGGATCCTGCATTCGCGTCTGTCAGGCAGCACACACGTGGCACAATGACAAGGATGTACACAGGGTGAGGAGGAAGGCAGAGAGTGCAATTGTGAGTGACTATCACAAGGCATAGCGGCTTCGAATACCAAGTCTTTGACTTCCACACGAGGAAACTAGTTGCACCAGAGTCACTGTGCTCAGCAGCACGTGAGCTTCTCGCCGTGCTCAGCAGCACGCGAGCTTCTCGCCGTGCTCAGCAGCACGCGAGCTTCTCACCGTGCTCAGCAGCACGTGAGCTTCTCGCCGTGCTCAGCAGCACGTGAGCTTCTCGCCGTGCTCAATCCCAAGGCCCAACCAGCTCACTGCCGACTCACCTTGCTCAGCGGGCACATGAGTTTCTCGTCCTGCCCCGGGCACCGCCGCCTTTTTTCCGCCTCTGCCCACTGCCCAACGTGCTTCAGCTCGGGGAACACACTCCCCACAAAGTCCGGCCGAGCCTCCGCATCCTGCATCACGCACAGCAGCGCCATGCCCAGCGCCCTCTCCGCCACCTTCCTCGGCCAGATCCCCGCAGCAGGGTCCAGGCAGCACATGAGCTCCTCCACTGCCGCCTCCACCGTGCCCCCGGCGCGCTTGAAGGGCATGAGGTGCTTGTGCAGCGCGCGGATGTTGGGCTGCCCCAGCAGCAGCTGCAGCATGATGAGCCCCAGCGCGTACACGTCGCTCCTGCCCGTCACCTCTCCTGTCTGCATCTCAGAGGGGTCGATGTACCTCACCGACCCCGACAGCCGCCACGTCTCCGGCAGCACCTCGCCCTGCCCCACGAACTGCGCAATGCCCACGTCGCCCACCTTGCTGCGCCTGTTGCGGTCCAGCAGGATGTTCTCCGGGCGCAGGTCCCCATGCACGATGGGCGGGTCGTGGCAGTGGAGAAAGACTAGCGCCGCTGCCAGCTCGCACGAGATCCGGATGCGGTCATGCCACGTCAGCGGGGCCCACGGCTTGGCGGGGTTCTTGCTGAGGCGCTCGTGGAGGGAGCCGCCGGGGAGGTGCTCGTAGACGATGCAGCGCTCCTCGGGGCACTGCCCCATCATCAGCGCCACGTGGGGGTGGCGGACCTTGGATAGGATGCTAACTTCCCTTTGAAACTCCTCCTCCTCGCATGCACTTGCGTGCTCAAGGCGTTTCACGGCTACTGTGGAGCCGAAGAGGGTGCCCTTGTGCAGAGTGCCGAGGACGCTTCTACCGAGGATGGTTTTTGGAGAGAAGTGGTCGGTGGCCTGGAGGACCTCGGCTCGGGAGAAGGTTCTGCACTCGCTGGAGGCTCGGCATTCAGAGGTTCGGAAGAGGCGAGCGCTGCTGCTGGACTCAGAGCGGGCGGGTGACCAGGCAGAGAGACTGCTGGAGGAGGAAAACTATTGGGGAGGGGGAGAAGGGGTGGGAAGGAGAGGGGAGCGGGAACGGGAGACGAAGAGGAAGAGAAAGGAGGTTAGGTGACTGGGGGAGGGGAACCAGTAAAAGGCATGAGCGTGTGTAGGGGAGGGATTGCCCATATGAGACACAGATTGCAAGCATGAAGTGCTCTGCTAGCACTAGCGCTTGCGCTAACAGACTTATTATAAGGTTAATGAACCAAGCACATTGCGATCTGGGAAACGCACATCGTACCATCATACCTTGGTTGAGTACTCTCCAGTGACGAACGTGATGCCCTCCTCCTGCTCCTCCCCCCTGAAGCTCTCACTCACTGCCACATCGAAACTGGCCCGGTTGCGGTTGCTGATGCTGCTGCCGCGGCTGCTGATGCTGCAAGGACTCTCCACCTCAGGCTGTGAGGCCGGATCCGGAGGCGACCCCAGGGCCGTGCTGCACAGAGGGGGTAGCGCAGGCCGAGGGGTGGAGGGCATCTGCATGGCCCCCAAGGAAGGCAGAGGGCTGGAGGGCAGCTGGGGGAGGGAAGTGCTCGACGAAGACTTCGCCACCCCAGGGCTGAAAGGAGCCTTGGGAGGGCTGGGATTCGAAAACGCCTTGGGCAGTCGAGGGGCGGTGGGGGCCTGAGCGGGGCCAGGGCTGGATGGCGACTTGGGCACCTGAAGACTGGAGGCCGCCGGGAGGGGGTTAGGGATAGTAAGCACCTTGCTTAAGTGAGAGGTAGAAGGGGTCTTGGAGGGGGCAGGGCTCGCAGGCGAGGTGGGAAGGGCAGGGAGGACAGTGGCTGGAGAGGAACTGGTGGGGAAGCCTTTCGAGGAATGGTCAGACGTTGGCTGTGCGGATGGTGGGCTGGATGGTGGTGGCGGTACCATCGCCCCACAACCAGAGGGCCCCACGACTCCTCTTCCTCCCATGCTTCCTCCTCTCACGCGTCCTTCCGCGCTCATGCATCCACCAGTGGCAGGACGCACTTGAGCGCCACCTCCCTCCTCCTCCCCCTCGTCGTCTGCCTCTTCGTTCTCCAGCTCAGGGATGCTGGTGGTGCTGCCCACAGAGCAGCTGGCCAGGGACCGTGCTGCCGGGGACTTGGGTGGCGTGGACGGCCGGGCTCGCAGACCGAACGGCAGGGCCAACCGCCCTGCCCTCTCTCTTCCCCCCCTCTCACTTCCCTCCCTCTCACTGCCACTCTCCTCCCTCCCGTCCCTCTGACTCCCCCGCTCCTCCTCCTCCTCCTCGTCATCCGAGTCGTCCATGAGCACAGCGGCCGACATGCTCAAGCACAGTGGCTCCGACTGCGGAATCATGCTGCGCCCCCTCCCCCCCCCCATCGCCCCTGCCCTAGCTGCCCTCTGCGCCGCCTCAGCCAGCGAAGCCGCACTGAAAGCACCCACACCACCGCCAGCACTGGCACCAGCACCAGTAGAAGCGTCATCGCCATAAGCGCCGGTGCCAAGGAGAGGAGCGCCGGAGCCAACAGCGAAGGTGCCAGAGCACGTGCCAGCAGCCATGAGGCTCTCGAGATTGGAGAAGGATTTCTGCCTCTGCAGGCGCGGAGGGCCCTCGTCGCCAGCACCAGCACCAGCAGTGGCACCAGCAGCGCTATGACTGCTGAGGCTGGCGCGGAGGGAGAGCCCTCTGGCGCGGTTAAAGAAGTGGTGGGTGCTGCTACTGCTGCTGTCGTCGCCGTCCATGCCGTCCGTTCCAGCCCTCCCTCGCCGTGCGCTGGGGCTGAGCATGCGGCGTACAAAGGCGGCACGCATGGACGCAGAGGGGATGCGGCGCTTGATGGAGCGCGATGCGAAGGACGCCGACACGTTGAACGGCCGGAAGTGGATGCGCGGGGAGGGCGGATGCACCCGAGGGTCCCCTGCTGCTGCTGCGGCTGCTGAAGGTGATAACGATGATGCTCCTAGCGGGGCTGTGGGTGTGGGTGAGCCTGATGCCAGAGCTGCCGAATATGCCACTGCTGCTGCGGTGGACGGCGAGCATACAGCTGGTGGCGACGGCGGCAGCCCAGGCCGCTGGTAACCGTCTCGATGGTAACCCTCATGGGAATCCAGTCGGTGGGGGACGGGACGGTGGGAATCGGCATCGCTGGGGGATGCAGTGCGCGGGGAGAAGAGCCGCGGGGCGAAGCCGCGAGGGGAGAGAGGCGGCAGGCCCTTGCGGGAGGGAGAGGGGCCCCTGCTGCCGTTGAAGCTGTGCAGCGCTGAGGGTGCACCAGAGCCGTTGATCAGGAGGAGGGTTTCGATGGACGGTGCGGATGCGTTGAGGAGGCCTTGCAGTGTGATGGTCTTGTCGGCCTTGGGAATGAGGAGCGTACAGGAGGAGGGGAGGAGGTCGAGAGGGAAGTCCATGATGGGCGACGGGTCGTGCTTCCTGAATAGGCGCCGACTGCAGGAGACGCAGGACAGAAGAGAAAGTCGCAGAGTATTAGCAAAACTAGCAGGAAAACAGGTTAGGTAGGGGTCAAAACATAACCCTTCTCAAAACATTCTTGCTAGCAGCTGCAACTTTTTTTACCAACCTGGCTTTCTTAGGCGGGTGTGTGTCACTGATGTAAAGGCGTTGCGCCTTGAACTTCACTGCCGCCACGCAGAGCCCTCGCTCCCACCCGTCCGCTGCCTCTGTGTGCATCGTTATGGCTGGGCGCGCCTGGGGGGGTGATCAGGCCACAGGAGAACACAACAGGGAAAGGAAGGAGGGTGGCAAGCAATACATGAAGATGATAGCAGGATCTCGTGAACAAAGGCAGGGTCGCAGCGATGGCAATAGCGCATCAACCTATATGCATATTTATCATTTTTTAATACTACATATGTACGTTCATAAAAATCACTTCAAGCAAGCTAGCTTACCGAGGGCGAGACAGGCTCTGCGCCGCTGTGCTTTCGGCCAGGGGTGGGGTAGCACTCCTCCTCGGCCTGGATGGTCTGCGCCTGCAGCTGCCGGGCGAACGACACCTTGCCCGCCATGCCATGCGCTGGCGAGACACTCCCGCTCATGCCTGACAGTGGGAAAAACCATACGATGGAAGCTCAGGCTTGGCGACGCACGGTGTGAAGGACGCGGGGAGAAAAGGGAGGACGTGGAGCGGTGGGCGCAAATAGGGGGAACGAGTTGGGGGTTAGCGCCGAGTGACAGGGTGGAGGGGCGGCATACCAGCAGTGACTGTAACGAGTACAAGCTGTACTCTGCCATTATGGCGCTTCGCATCGAGGTTGGCGCGAGCGAGGGCGCCAACGGCGGATTCGATGCTCTTGCTGATGTCCACTAACCACACGGCGCTTGGCTCCGGCATCCTCGTTATAGGGCACAGTCACTCTTCCACCGGAGAAGTCCAGAGAGTGTTCCTCAGGAGAGTGAAACAACGACGGAGCGTGCTTTCCTGAGTGAGCCTCGCGAGCAGCAAGTCTCGAGATAATTTCGGGCTTCTGGAAGGAAGCTGTGGTTCGGCGATTGAATTTGATGAGTTGAGAGAGTCTATCTGCGCTTCTGGCAGCAATGGGCTGTGTGGATATGGCTCCGTGGGTGGGCGACTGACTCTGACGACACCTCCTTCGAGCTAGCCTAACTGCCAGTGCTGCTCGCAGCAGCATCCGCGAGGGACTAAATGGTGCTCGTGCAAGAGCGAGCCGAGGCGTTGATGGCTTCATGGCGGCCGAAATCGACGCCTCAGATCTGCACCGTCGGCTACGAAATTATCTGCTGGTCGTTACTCCTGGATCGCACCGTTAATGGTTCCTACTAGGCTGCTTGCAGTTCGTTCCAAAGGCTGCTGTTTCCGTGCGACAAAAAAAATCGCGAATGGGAATTTCTGACCACTCGCGTTACCCCATCAGCAAGCAGCCCCGAAAATTCTTCACCGTCCGATCTGTATGCATCCCCGACGCCACCGCCGCACATCCCAAACCTGGGGTGACTGGATATGCACCGTGCATTCGTGGATGGATCTACAGTACCGCTTGTCATGATTTCCCTGCGATGAGCTCGAGGCGTCCTATTCAGCCTGCCTCAGCAAGCAATGGCTAACTGAACCCAGGTCTGTAACCCTTCAGCTGGCGATTCGTCTGGTCTGGCCAGCAGAAGTACTGATGGGAGAGGCTGGTACAGTAATGTGCTAGGGCAACGCTTCCGGCATTCTACCATCACGCTAGCACCCACAATGCACTGCTTTGCAACCTCGAGGAATACTTCGGGGGCGCGGACACACAGAAAAATCAACGACCGAGATCATAATCAGCAGAATGTAAGCAGCTTCCCGCCGTCGAATGTATGTTTGGGAATGCGATGAGTCTGCTGTGCTTGGGAAAAGCGGTTGCGTTGAGTTTCAGGCGATGAGCCACATGCTGTGGATCTCGGACGACACGGATGAAGGCGGAGCCATTGGGCGACGATGGGGCTGCGCCTGGAGTCTCTGTCTTCCTGATTGAGAGCTGCACCTCATCTTGAAGTGAGGAAAAATGAGAGCCGTCGGATTAGCGTTGGCTGGCAGGCGCCGCTTGCCATTCACCACCGTCTGTTCTGTTCACGGAAATTCCAAGGGCCTCGAATTCGAATCGAATGGGCAGCGAGCGAGAGCGAGGCTCGATTGAATGGTTGCGGCAGAACCTTCCAGTATTGCTCTATAAGGTGTTTACTGTACGAGGTAACGTACTTCGCTAAAGTGCACTACAGAACTGTAGGGCTAATTATTTCACGTCTACTTACCCTGATTCTCTATTTAGTCATACCACGTTCGTTATGTATACTTTATATGATTTTATCCAGCCCCATTTTCAACCGATTCTCCCAGCTAGTTGATCCTTGTCTGGTTTCACTAGAACGTTTGCATCTAAACATTGTATTCTTTGCCTGGATAATGAAACCATAGCTAGCTAGCTCGCTCAATCGTACTCTGTAAGACTCATGACTACATAAACCTGTGAAGCACTCCCTCAAACGAGATCTGTCGGTACCGTACAAAAAACGCGGGACGGCTAGAGGGACGACTCGTATTGGACGGGATTTCCCACCCTGGCATCGCCTCACAAGACGACGAGGAGATTCCTTCTTGCCGTGAAGCTGACGACCGGGATACTGTTGTGCCATCGTCAGCTCCTTCTGCCACGCGTTCTTGCGAGAAAGACGACATTGATGAGCCTTCAGCAGCAGCCAGGACTATTAGTGTCGCGAAGTTAGTTAGCTGAAGCATAGAACTACTTTTCTCTCGTACTAACGAATTGGTCGCGGTCATACAACCATGGCGAGAGAGACCGCCGAGACCCCTGGCGTGGCGTCTGAGAGCCCCGAATTCGCGGACTTACCGAACGGCATGGCGGTCGCTCGGCGCGCTGTGCTTCATCCGTCCGGCATCGCCCAGCAATGCGGCGTCACCTACCCGATGCTCGGGTCCCATCTCAAGAAGGCAAGGCGCCGTGAACTGATCGGCGCGCTGTGCTTCATTCCTTCTGGCGTCTCACAGCAAGCGACCTTCCTTCGCTTTCCTTGAGTCATGTCTCAAAGCGGTCAGCTGTCTCCGAGTCAGACAGACCAGTTCCTTCCTTCCCAGTGCTGGCCCTTGGGGAATCTGTGCCCTCCCTCCACACCAATCCACGTTTTTGCTCTCGTTCGTGCTCACCTTGTGTTTTTCAACTTTCTTTCCCGGCCTTTCTCCCTTTCCCACTGTCAGAGCGGAGCAGAGCCGGGTCGGCTTTATTCCATCTACTTCTTCTTCACGCCTCTGCTGACTCGCATGGAGAACGGGATCTTTTACACGCCCTCCTCACCAGATAAGACAGGTAAGCTCTCTTAGCCATCGGTTAGCCTGTTGCAGAAGGGATGTAACGGAGGGGTTATGTACCTGCGGCGGGTGGTTCACTAAATATTCTCCCAATCCTCACTGTCCCTTTTTCTTGATCTTGTCCTTCACCTGCTGATGCGTGTCCACTACGCCCAGGTCCGTATCCATTTCAGCACATGACTCACTTCCTCTCCTCCATCTCCCATTCGTCTCTGTTGTGCAACCAGTTCCCACGGATCCTGCAAACGGCATCATTGTGGTCAACCACCCTGAGGTGAAGGCAGCAGCCATGTGGCACATCGGGCCATACCAGAAGCTGGGGGACACGTACAAGGCTCTGTGTGCTTGGATTCGGGCACAGGGGAAGTACCCAGGCAGCCTCATGTTTGAGGAGTATTACACCAATCCAATGGAAGAGAAGGATCCAGCTAAATACAAGACGAGGGTCTACATGTCATTTTCAGATAGTTTCTTGGGGTCAATGGGAGAGTGTAGCATAATGTGACTGGTTTTTTGTTTTCCGCAACCTGTGCATAGTTTCTGCTCTGTTCTGATTAAAATGTTGGCATTGTTCTCGTACCAAAACGTAACTACACAGCTGAGGGCAGGCAGAACGTTTGAAGATAGCAAACCCTACTACGATCACAATATCAGTAAGCCAATCTTCAGTCAGATTCCATCCCGTAGCCCTGTGCAGCTTGCAGTGCCTGCACCTCCCTCTCCTTCATCAGCATCTCATGGGTCACCACATACAGTTCCTGGTCCAATGAAGCCTTCTCCTTCTCCAGAGCCCTCATCTGGCCTGCCCAATCCTCCTTCTCACGCTGCAGCACCCCCATCTGCTGCTGCACCTCCACCAATCGCCCCTCCACTCGCCTCACCTGCAGCTGCTGCGTCTGTACCTCGGCTTCCACGGCCCTGAGCCGCTCGTCCTTCCATGCCAGTTCCCTCTCCAGCAGTTCAACCTTCGCTTCCGCCTGCCTCAAGCTGCCCTTTATGCCTTCTACCTCCCTCCCCTTTGCCTGCAGATGCTCTTCCATGCCTTGCTTGCTCTCCACTGCCTTCAGCATCAACGCATTCAGTGACTGTGTGTCAGCAGTCAGTTTCACAATCTGCTTCTCCTTCGCTCTCGCCTCTTTCTCTTCTGCATGCAACTGCTGTCTCAATGCTTGGATCTCAGCTTCCTTTGCCTGTGTAAGTTCCCCCAGTGCTTCAATCTTCGCCTGCATCCTTTGCATTGTCTCCGTCACTTCGGAGTTCCACTTTTCCATCTCTTCAACCTTATTTCTCGACTCCGCCAGCTCCACGCCAACCTTCTCCTTCTCATCCTGTACCTGCGAGATCACTGCTCCTAAAACCTTCTCGATCTCTTTCACGGCTTCATCCTTCTGTCTCTCCATCTCCACAAAGCGTGAATGCAGGCCTTCAATAACTCCTTCATCCTTCCTCTCCCTTTCCTCGCTTGCTGACTTCAAGGCGGTCAGCTCCTCAACCTCTGCCTGCAATCGGGCTACCTCGTCCTTCAGTTCGATTCCTTCCGTCAACAGACGGCCATTTTCGGCATCAGCCACCTTCAATGCTTCTTTCGTGTGTCCAAGCTCCTCAATCTTTTCTGCCAGTCCCCCCTCTGCTGCTTTCAGACGCGACGTTTGCGATTCAAGGGTTGCTTTCAAGGACTTCACTTGGCCTTTTAGACCGGATATTTCGCTGAGTTGATCCCCCATGAGCTTCTGAACTTCGACCAGCTGCAAATGACAAAGAAGATGGAGTCAAGGGAGGTGGAAGAAGCGCACTCTACCATGGAGGAAACATACACAAAATAGATGCACGACTATAGCTTCTAAACATGGCTGATTCTTACCTCCGATGCGGGAACAAGCCCTTTAATCCGCCAGCCTCCTTCTGCATCACCCTCGGCTTGCATCTTCAGGATCTGCTGATGCTGCTCCTGGAGCTTTCGTTCAGCCATGCCTAGCGCCACTTCCGCTTCCCTCGCCCCTTCCAGCGCCTCGTCCCGTTGCTGCTCCACCAATCGCATCCGCTGCTGCTCGCTGCTCAGAGCGGAGCGGAGAGACCCAAGCTCAGATGAGAGTTTCTGCTCTACAGATTGAAGCGATGACAGTTGTTGCTGTAGAGTAGTGATAATTTCCGCGTCAGAACAAACCTGAAATGTACAATAAGAGGATTGTCAGGCATATAGTAGGTGGTGTGGACCGAGAAGAGACGGACAGGACTACGTGAATCCGCGTTCAGACGTTCAACCAAAGGGAGATACCTCGTGCAGAGACTTGCTCGTTGTCGAGTTAACAACAGGCTGAGGCTCGGCTTGTGAAAGAGGAGCATCTGTACCATCAGCAGAACTCTGACAACGACCATTCTCTCCTGGCCTGATAGCAGCTGCATACGGGATGGACTTGTCCTCATCGGAATCCAGCGGTATCAAGTCCGGTTTCTCTCCCGTCAGGTTAAAAAATCTCTGCTTCAGCTTTTTATTTCTCTCCCGCTCTTCTTCGACTCGATGCCTTAGTGTGCGAATCGTCTGGTCCTTCGACAGCTTCAGCCGGTTCGTCTCCGCTAGAAGCTTCGCAACTTCCTTCTTCCATTCCTCGTCCCTCTTGGTGAGAGATTCGGCAACCGCGGTCGATACTCCTGGTCCAGAATCTACGGAAGAACTAACCTCTGCGACTTGCTTCTGCCCTGAAACGGCTGCATCGTCCTTGCTCAATTCAAGCATGTCTGAATTTGATGTTAGTTGGTCGGCAACAAACTCTGCGGGGAAGCTCTGGCGTGAATCTGAATCCGTAGAATCCCTAGTTTCATCGCTTCCTGTGTTTTTCGCGCTGTAAGGCACGGTCGAGTACGTCCATCCGCCAACCCACGGAGCGCCTCCAGTCTGCTTACGGACCGTCACGTGACAGAGGATGTCACCACCGTGCCTTGCGACTGTTCCCATCCGTACGTCGGGTTATAACAACGGTTAATATGATTTAAAGACTAATATTGAGAGAGCTACAAATAACGGATATTCCGTCATGTGAACCCCGAGGACCACGGTCTGTTAGGTAACCATGTGGTGACGACGTTCAGTGAATGTCACGGCCATGGCTGGCGGAGAATCCAAGACGCCAGGCCGTGCAAGGTAACTCCACCGATCAAATCTCGGCTGATTGGTTGAATGAATGACAACGTTCGCTCATGACTGCTGGGGACCCATTGCTCACTGTTGCCAGAACTCAGAACTAAACTGGACTACCATACCATCACACACCATGGAAGCCCTTCAGGCACTCGTGCTTGTGTGAGTTCGGGCTTCGGGGGACAGTCAGGCAAGGAGGACGGATCGTTGGGGGAGTCACGCGGATTGTGTGTGGTCGTCAAAGTTGACGGCTGCATGCGTTTATGAATCTGCATGTTGCCTGAAACACTTCATATAACAGACGGGCAGGGAAATGGGCAGGCTAAGGACACGGTACACTGCGTCCGGTTCGCAGGACCACAATCGATTCTTGTAGAATACCGTTTTTTACCACGCTGAGAATTTGTTGTACCGCATCCAAAACCTTTTGAAACCCATAAAAACGAACTGGTCCACGATCGATTTCGGTAAAATGGACGCAATGTATCCCGTCCTAATGTTGACGCCGTCAAGCATTTTGACCCTCTGATTGATGGGCGCTTCGGCCAAATGGGTTGTGAACGGCAAAATCGAGGACACATTGGACAGATTGCCACAATATCCATAAACCTGACAGACGGACGTTTTTGTCAGAAAATTTCGAATTTCGGTGGGAAACACCTGGAGGAAGTGTGTTCATCTTCAGGGCTTGTTCAGCGCGTTCGTTTACTCTTCACCTTGCATATCAGGTACACAATTTTGACATGGTAACTCGAAATTTCGTGTCCATTCGGACACACACAATAAATTGACGGTTTTGGCGGACACCCTCCAAAACAGGCCCACAGACGTGGGCCACACGTTTCCGAACCGAATGAAAATCGTGCGCAAAATATGTACACGGCAGAAACGTCCAAATCATGGCTGGCGAAAATAGAACGCTTACATTCGCCAGGATTTCGCGAGGCTTGCGAAGCACGGCGAAAAAGTGGAAGAAGATTTGAAATTGCATGTTCGCCCTCCCGGGCGGGGCCAATTCCCGGGGCGAAATTCGGTTACCCTGCTGTTTTCGCGTCTCAGTCTGTTATGTGCGCGCTGCGCACCCGCTCATTTGTCGAGCCACGGGCGGGGCTCGTGTCCGCGCGTTTTGCTGTTGATACGGTGGGTGTACCTCAACACATTCACACTTGGCGAATCAATATTTCGGCGTGTTAAAAAAGCGTAAAAAAATCGTGTTGGGGCAAAATGAACGCGCTGGACACGCCCTCAGTGTGGCATAGTCCAAATTTGTCATTGAAGGCATGCATCGAAACGATTCGTTGTAGCCATTGCATTCAGATAATTGAAAACGAAAAGGGCTCAAATAAACTCCAGATTTATGAATCTGTTTACGCATCAATTCGTGCCTTTTTCACTGATTGGTCATCTACCATGTCCTCAAACACGAAATTCTCCTCTTGAAAGTGCTTCTTCACAAGGTCTAATGCTCGTCTTCTGTGTGAAATCTGGTTCTTCGTGTCCTTCGGCATTTCTGCGTAACTGGCATGAGGAGAAAACAAGAAATGCACGGCAACATGTAAGCCAGAAGACCCGAATAGAATGAAAGTAAAAACGTCCAATACAAAAGGGGAAACAGGTCCCATTTGAAACTACCGAGTCGTCAATACGTCATATGACACTTACGTTTGATCAAAGCCATCAGGTTGAAAGACAGGATCCCAGCCAAAATCCTTTGGCCCCCTTGCAGGGACTATCTTGCCCTGGTGGACACAGGGGGTAAAGAGAGCCAACATTGGATCCCAGGCCAAAGCAGACAAATAGGTTCCAGCTGTGTCTGTGAATGTGAGCGTGCATGTGGTGTTGCTCTAGCTTGCGCATGGGTGTGTTTGTGTGTGTGTGCCTGCGTGTGTGTGGACATGCCATTGCGACTACCGCACACTGATAACTATGCTGTTGATAGCACGTGTCAAACGGAGCAGTGTCCCGTAACACCCCTGTCTACACATTACCATGTGCCTCTATCGAAACCTTTTCCGTACCTCTGTCTTCTCAGCAAAACTGAGGGGCTCGTGGTCGGGCCCGAGGCAGAGGGAGAAGGCAGGGCGCATAGGCTGACTTCTACCTACACTTCTGTGTTTCCCTAGAGCTAAAACTGCCATGCCATCCATACCTCTGTCTTCCCAGCAAAACTGAGGGCTTGTGGTTGGGCGCAAGGCAGAAAGAGAAGACGCACAGGGCATAGGCTGACCTGCGTCTACCCTCCTCTGGTATTTCAAATTCTACCTCTCCAGTCTTACCTCTGTCTTCCCAGCAAAACTTAGGGGCTCCTGGTCGGGCCCAAGGCAGAGGGAGAAGATGCAGAGGGCATAGGCTGTCTTGTCTTCATATGCTACAAGGAGGTTGTTCAGGCCTGGTGCAGGGCAGGGAGGAAGCAGGACTCATGGGTTGGGAAATTGAGAGCTTTCCCTCGATTGCTACGGCAACTGAATGTGACACCATGTGTTTGTGTAGACGGGAAACTCACCCTCATGACCGGTCTTGTCCAAAAACCACTTTCTGCACCAAGCAAGAGCAACACACCCACTCACTCACTCGATCACACGCACACAAGCACGCAACCATGCACACGCAGGCACACACACTCTTCCTCTTTCACATACCCACACACATGCCGCCCTCTCATGCCATAAACCGCACACTCCTTGCAAGGGTAAGCACAAACACACTCCACACAGCACACACAGTTGACATTTCAATCACTCAGAACGCGGTTTCCTTTCAGGGAAAATTCCTCCATCGTGTCATCTGCGAATGTCATTGGACATTTGCCTGTGAGCTAGGTTGCCCTCAGACTACTCAGGCAGTAGTGTCGCGACTCACATGTATGGGCCTGAGACAGTTGGCAAGTCAACACACACAGACAGGAGAGCAGAAGGAGAGGAAGTGGGAGGAAGCAGGAGAGGAGGACGGGGGGAAGAGGAGAAAGAGTAGGGAAGGGAATGAGAGTGAAATGGCACGAAAAGAAAGCTTAACAACCCCCCTCCCCTCCCCCCTCTCGCTCTCTCCTCTCGCACACTCGTTCACTACTCTCCTCTCCTCACCTGGCAGCCCACCAAGGGCGTTGAAGCAGAGACATGTGTCCTCCACAAGCACTGGCCCGCCCACCTGTTATGGACGAGGGAAGACAGGAGAGGCAGGAGGAGGGGGGTTCGGAAGGAGGAGAGATGGGGAGGAAACGAGGAAAAGGAGGAGAGATGGGGAGGAAACGAGGAAAAGGAGGAGAGATGGGGAGGAAACGAGGAAAAGGAGGAGAGATGGGGAGGAAACGAGGAAAAGGAGGAGAGATGGGGAGGAAACGAGGAAAAGGAGGAGAGATGGGGAGGAAACGAGGAAAAGGAGGAGAGATGGGGAGGAAACGAGGAAAAGGAGGAGAGATGGGGAGGAAACGAGGAAAAGGAGGAGAGATGGGGAGGAAACGAGGAAAAGGAGGAGAGATGGGGATTCGTGGAAGAAGGATGAACTCACCTTGGCAGCTGCGAGTCTGGCCTTCTCCTTGGAAATGTCTTCCGGCTCGCCCTGCAACTCAGGCACTGACATGGACGATAGTGGGAAGAGAGCGTGAAAGAGCGTGGAGAGAGTGAAAGAGCGTGGAGAGAGTGAAAGAGCGTGGAGAGAGTGAAAGAGTGTGAAGAGAGTGTGAAGAAGAGAGTGTGAAAGAGTGTGAGGAGAGTCGGAACGAATATTTGTGCAAACGCCTCACAGTACGAGATGTGGAGTGTGATGGAGTGTGACTGGTGTAAACGAGTTTATCCACAACGGAAAGCTGCAGAAGAGCATGCGACAGTAGGGACACCTCCGACGCATTGGGCGCTCTGGAGCTGTGCGAGGAGTGGAGAGCAGCGGGGGAATAAAGCCGCGGTGCGCACTTAACGGAATGTCCCAATTTTCAAACTGCCCGTTACGAACGTTATCCGCCTACGTTATCCAATACAATGGTTCGGCGATCGTAACGACTCACAGTCGATCTTGCGGCTTCGCAGGGCGACGGTGGAGCCGAAGATGGCCTTCACTTCCTCCAGCTTCTTCGCGTTGCCCGTCACGAACGTCACCGGACGGATCACCCTCGCCGCCGCCGCCATTGCGCCGTCACGGCCGATCGCGAGGGCGATAGGAGGTGTTCCAAGACTAATCTCGATGTTAGACAGACCCAATCACCCAGAGCTGGTTCAATCAACGACGGAAGCCTGATCACAGGAGCTGAGCGCTGGATGGTCTGGTTTGAGATTACCAGTGCCGATTTGAAATGGCTGGAGCCTGGTCAAACGAACTTCGAGCCAGGAAGTCTTTTAGTTGTGAAGCTGGAAACTTAGTTAGGGCCAGGATCTCTAGTACCGCAACTGTTTTGCAGTTGGAGTCAAGGGGTTGGTTGGGATTGGCTGACGACGTGCAAAGTTCGATTGGAGTTTTGACGACGGTTGGCCAGTTCGATTGGGTTTCGTTTTTACAAAACCGAACCCGCTAGGCACGGGCTTGGTTCGGTTACCAAGCAGTTTTTGGTTCGGCTCGGGTTTTACAGGAGTTTTTCCAGAGGGGCCCAAATCGTCCGAGCTACCAAAAAATATAGCTCAGGTCCTGGTCTCGAGTACCTAGAAGTCGTTTTGGAAATGGTCTTGGCGCAAGAGGGATTGTGTCGCACAGCAGGCAAATTGCGAGATTTCGCGCACTCAAAACGGGGTAGCCACGCAGCAACTGTTTTGCAGTTGCTGCCAGATCTCGGTACTTGAGACCCTGGCTTTAAGTGCCAACCGTTGTTATTTTGCAGCACAAACCAAGAACCCGTCACCCAATGAGGCGGAAATTCATTCCCGAAACAAGTGTGTTCGGTGCGAGGAAACAAAGGCCTCAATTGCCACGCCCTCGGAGTTCCAAAACTTTTTTGGACGAGCCATCCTGCCAGGCAGTCCGTCTCGTCTCGTCGAGTCCATCCGCTACGGTGGCGCGCAAGGTCGTCGTTCATGTCTGCGTGTGAGCTAGTTCCGAGAAAAGTTTAGACCTCGCTGCAGAGGATTTTATTAGCCTACACGCGACACCGTCCAGCATTCGGCAGACCGTAGCTTACGGCCCGACGGAAGTCGAGCGTGCAGCGACGAATCTCGCCGCGCAGTTGACGAGCAGACGGCTTTTGAGTCGACTCAAAAGCGAATCTCGCCGCGCACTTGACGAGCAGACGGCGCGCCCAACCGTGCTTCACCCATGCGGTAATTCGCGGGCGACAACTCGGTGTGGTTCTATTTCGCCCGTTTTGGCGCTTGTAGTAGGGATTTTTTGGCAGCGCGAGCTTCAAGTTTCGCGACGCCCCAAAAGGTTTGAGGCGCCTCAAAAGACACCCGTGATAAACTGGCAGTAGAGAGATGTTCTGGGGCAGTGCGAGCCTCAACTCTGGATATTTTGACGGCGGTGGTTCGTCAGAAGGTAACCATGTGGGCTGCGATGGCCTTGTGGGCTGCGATGGCCTTGCTATATTTGGTTTTTGAGTCGAATGAATAACGGTTGTTACATCACAAAGCAGTTGCTGCTAACCCTCGGGGCACGAGCCTCGCGCTGTCCGAGCCTCGTGTCGTCCGAGCCTCGCGTCGTCTGAGCCTTGCATCATCCGAGCCTCGCGTCGTCAACTGACTGCTCGCCTCTCCTCTCCACTCACCCCGCCCCCGTTCACCCCCCCTCGGTTCGTCCCCGAGATGCTTTTCCTTCTTGTGGCGCGCCATCTAGTTTTTTTTTGCTCAAAAACGCCGCAAACCCACTTCTGGTCAAATCTGCACTCATGCGCCCTCACGCTGGCCTCGTTACAAGCGGCTCCGTTGACTCTCCGCCTTTCCTATCCTCTGCTAACTCTCGTTGCCATACCCCCTTACTACCTGTCGTTTCTGTCCTTTTCCCTTGTCGCTTACAGGCTCGTGGATGACCCTCTGGTGCCCGTCCGTTTGGACCTGGAGATCGGAGATCAACGGCTGCAAGACGCCTTCTGCTGGAACAGCAACGGTAAGGCATTCTTCCCATCCCTTTTACTCCCCCCTTCCCCCCTCCCCTTCCCCCCTCCCCTTCCCCCCTCCCCTTCCCCCCCTCCCCTTCCCCCCCTCCCCTTCCCCCCTCCCCTTCCCCCCCTCCCCTTCCCCCTCTCCCCTTCCCCCCTCCCCTTCCCCCCCATCGCTGTGTGCATGCACCTCTCCCTCCTCCCTCCCTGCGCCCCAGACCACGGCGCTCTGCAGAGTCTGATGGGGCGACAGCACCCTCTGCTCCCGCATCTCACGCCCCCACCTACCTCCCCGTCCCGCCATAGCTTTGCTGTGTGTGCAAAGCCTCTCCTCCCCTCCCCCCCTCCACGCCGCCACCCCCCCACACCCCCACGCGCTGCCGAGCTTGATGGAAAGATAGCGCCCTCGGCTGCAGAGGGCCTTGTGAGAACGAATCGAAGCCTCTTCCCTCCGCCGTTCCCCCCTCCTCACTGCTCCCCCCCTCCCCTACCTTCCTCTCCTAGCGGCGCTCCTACTGCTCCCTCACAATGCAGAGCCCCATGGGGAGATTGCAGTCCTCCTCCCCTCCCTCCATCCGGCCCCCATCATCCACTCGCTTCACCGCCCTCCGCTCGTCCCCCACTCGCGCCCTCGCAAACAATGCAGAGCCCCAAGGGGAGAGAGCACTCTTCCTCCCTCCATCCTGCCCCGCGTCATCCCCTCGCTTGCTCCCCTACTCGCTCCCTCACAATGCAGAGCCCGAAGGGGAGATAGCGCCGTTTGCAGAGGGCCTTGTGAAGGACACGAAGCTTCCACACTACTTCCTGCCGCACATCGTCCAGGCCATCCAGGTGCGTGGGCGGGGCTGGGGAGGGGAGGGAAGGCGGGAGGATGGGGAAAAGGGGGGGGTAGGATTGGGGGAGGGGGAGGGGGGCGGATGGGGAAGGGGGGGAGAGGAAGGGGGGAGAATGGGGAAAGAGACAAGGGGAGAAAAGGTGATACTGCCTGATCCCTCCCCCCTTTTCTTCCCCCCTCTCCTTGTCCCCTCCCCAAACCCACCCCCCCTTTTTCCCCCTCTTCCCCCTTCCTCCCACCTGCGCTCTACGGTGTTGTGCTCATTCCCTCTTGCTTGCTGCATTCAGCGGGTTCCAGGTAGCTTTGATCCGGCCGTTACATCCCCATGGCCTCGCAGCGGTGGTGGGAGCAGCAGCGGTGGGAGCAGCAGCGGTGGGAGCAGCAGCGGTGGGAGCAGCAGCAGTGGGAGCAGCTGAGTAGCGGCTCCTTGAACGCCTGAGTCGAAGCACCAAAACTGCCGCCTTTGTTCCCTCACACGCATAACCCATCATCCCATCATCACCCCATCCATCCCATCACTCTCTCTCTCCCCATCCCTCAATGACTCTCGCTCCCTGCAGCGCAGCACCTGGTGCTGCTGAGGGGCATAGAGGAGAGCATTGCTCGCTCCCACCTTCACTTCTCCACCTGCCCCTTCTCCACCTGCCCCTTCTCCACCTGCCCCTTCCCCTTCTGGTCTCCCATTCCCCCTCGTTCCCCCCCCCGTTGAACCATCACGCACAGGTGGCTGAGGTGCGGTCCTGGCAAGCACAGCCCCTGGCATGCACAGCACCTGGCATGCACAGCACCTGGCATGCACAGCACCTGGCATGCACAGCACCTGGCATGCACAGCACCTGGCATGCACAGCACCTGGCATGCACAGCACCTGGCATGCACAGCACCTGGCAGCTGTGCTGCGGGGGGCTACGGAGGAGAAAGAGGCTCACTCTCGAGTCTCGCCCTCACCAATGGCCCCTGTCGCTCTCGCCTTTCCACTTCCTTTCCCGCGTCCTTGCTCCTTTCCTTCCCCTATTTCACCCCCCTTCCCTTCCCCTTTCCGCGCCACCAGGCTCAGGTGGCGGAGTTCCGGGCCTTACATGCCCAGGACCTGGCTGCAGTGCTGGGGGCCACTGAGGAGAACGTGCATCTCGTCAAGGTGAGGCGTGCTTGTAACCAAGGTTGGGATGTGCCTGTATGGAGGGGAGAGAGTGCAGCTCAGGATGTGGCAGCGGTGCTGGGGGCTACTGAGGAGAACGTGCATCTCGTGAAGGTGAGGCGTGCTTGTAACGAAGCTGCGGATCCGCCTATACGGTTGGAGGTGAGAGCATGCAGCACAGCACCTGGCTGGCAGCAGTGTTGGGGGCTGCTGAGGAGAATGTGCACCTGGTGAAGGGGAGAGGCGGGTGATAATAGTGGAGAGTCATGCCGGCATATGCAGCATCTGGGGTCCCCAATCACTCACCTGTGGGATTCGTTCTCCCCAATCTCCCCCGTTTTCTCGCCTTTCTCCACCCGTTCTCGTCTCCCCTTCCCTTCTGCACAGCAAGAGGTTCAAACCAAGCAAGCACGTCCATTCATCATTAGCGACCTATTCTTGTGCTCGCATGCTCTCTTCACATGCAAGTCTTATTCCAGTACCTTGTTAGTCCTCGCTTCTCATTCCCCTTGCGATTTCCACTCCCTTGTCCTCTCTTTCGATCCCCTCTTCCGTTTCCCACAGCTGGATGTGTGCACGGCCACATGCATCATTCGGGACCAATTTCTGTGGGTAAGACACGGTTCGGAGTGCTGCATCGCTTTGGGTAAGTCAGTCCTGGTAAACCCGCTTTTGTTTATTCCCTTGAAATGTTCGCATGAAATTTCGAGATCGATCCTTTCCCATAACGCCCTGTTATTTCGAAATTGTTCGATGTTTACAGATTCGTTTTGTTACCGGCTCTTGTATGAATCGTGGATATATCGAGGGGTGTGAATATACATGGTTATATCGCGTCGCATCACATATATCCAGAAATGCGACAGCGATGTTTTATTTTCCTGGAAAATTATCGCGCAATATTGTTTTATCGCATTTATATCGCCGTCAACCTGCAACGATATAATGCGATATTCAATATCGCATGCGAGTGAATCCGTCAGGCTGTCAAATAGGTGTTGTTTGACGTGGTCGCACTCATTTAGTTGTGAATTTGAGCTGCCAATGCTCATTCGTTCTTTCCCTCCTCCCTGCTGAACCCAACCCTGTCTTGTGACCTTGATGTTTCTTCTCGCCTTTAACTCCCATTCTCATCTCGACACTCTTTCCTTCCTACCTTCGCACAACTTCTCACCCGAACCCCTATTCTCCTCCTCACTCTATGCTGAGTCAGAGGCTCATGGTGCCAACCTTTCCTCAATCAATCATAATTCCACATCTTGGCAGGCTGTAAACAATCCAAATGGAAGTGAGGCAAATCCTGCTGGGCTCTGCTCATTTATGCACTCCTCAACCCCGTCTTCCCGTCCTCACATCTTGGCAGGACCTGAACAATCCATATGCCGATCCCGAGGCCTATGCTGCTGGGCTGTGCTCCGACCTTGGCATTACTGATGCTGATCCCCAAGCACAGGTAGAGCTTATTCGTTGGGACTTGCGTGTAGACATGAGCAGAAAAAATCGCATCGCATCGGATCGCAACGCAATAAATCGCGTTTTTGCGATGGCGATTGATTTTTTATTTTCTCGTAAATCGCGCGATGCGATTTTCTGTTAATCGCTCGTTTATTGATTGATTGATTGATTTATTTATTTATTAATCGCATTGAATCGCACGCCAAAAAGTGCGATATAAACGCGATTTGCGATTTTTTTTTAATCGCATGCGATGTTGAAAATCATCGCGTCGGGAATTCTCGTCGCATCACCCCCCACCCCTTCATTTCGACTTTCTTCCCTCATGCTCGCCTGCTTATGTCCTTCCTAGAGCCTAACCAGCCACCTAGCGCGGCATTTCCTACTTCTAAGCAGCTAGGTAAGTACATCGACCTGCGATCTAGTTTCCTGCAGCACTGCACTCGAAACCACCGTCACCAACTCCCAAGCTAACCAAGCTTTTTTTCCTCATAACCCATCCCAACCCCTCCCAACCCAACCCTAAATTTCGCCAACATCCAACCTGAACTGAACTGTAGTTTCACCAACGCCCAAACCACCTCCTCCCACTCCAACCCAAACCTGCCAACACCCAAACCACTCCCTCCCCTCCTAAGCCAACCTAATTCGCCAACGTCCCTGTTCTTTCGCCAACACCCAAACCACTCTCTCCCATACCAACCCAAGCCTAATTCGCCCACACCCAATCGATCCCCCCCAAAACCAACCCTTTTCGCCAAACCCCAACCCTCTGTGCGCACCCAAATCTAATCGTTTTCCTGCCAACACCTGATGCAGATCTCGAAGTTTAAAGAACGTGTGTCCCTAGGCTAGAAATTGTAAAGAACCTGGCGAATCACCTGGCATAACTCCACGATTGGGCCTCAGGCCAGCCTGAGGATTGTTTTTCCCCTAGCCCAGAAGTGCGATGCGATTTAATATTGCATCGCGCTATTTTAAAAATCATCGCATGCGATTTTATTTTTCATCGCACCCTAAACGCGATGTGCAATTTACATTCCCTGAAAATTTAAATCGCGCGATGCAATTTTGAATCGCATCGTTTTTTTATTTATTTATTTGTTTTTAGTGCCCCCCATCGCGATGTGATTTGAATCGCAAACGCGTTTCGATCATGTCTACTTGCGTGGCTCACTTATAGCGAGTCAGCATCGGGTCAGCCAATGCCTAGTACCGAAGCCGAGGTGTTTATGCAGTGAAGATTTTGCGAGGAATTGAACTTGTGAATCTGAATTTGCACTTGGCCCTGTGTTGTGCTTCCGTACGATGCCATACGTCTCATTCCCCTCATTTTCCTCCCTTCGTTCTCTCACTCCCCTTTTGTAGGTCTGGGTCGCAGTGGCACTTCGGGAACAATTGCTAGAGGTAGGCACTTAGCAGAGTAAGACTTTTTGTTAGGCACTTGAAGTTGAATCCCTGCTAGGAATGAACGCATACGCACTCATCTAGACCAAGCCCTTCACACTGTTATACATATACCCCACTTAGTTGTGATCTTAGACAAACCTCGTTTCGCCCTGCCCTCTCTACTGTTTCTCCACCACCCCCTGCTCTCCCCCCCTTCCCAGTGTCTCACCCCCCCACCCTATTGCCCCCCCGAAACCCCCTCTGCTGCCTCTTCCCCTCAGCTCGCCCGTCAGATGCTCGCTTCGAAGGAACCCCGATCCTCCAAGAGGCCACGGAGGGAGCGAGGGGGGAGTGCAGAGTGAGTGATATGGGGGGGGGGGGGGGGGGGGGGGGGGGGGGGCGGGGGAGAGGTTGGAGGGGGTTTAGAGAGTAATGGTGCAGATAAACAATGATTGCAAGAATGAATGTGAACAAGGTCAGCATCGGTAATGCCAAAGGCTGAGCACAGCCCAGCATCTGACTCTCACTCTGAATGGATCTGACCAAGGTCAGCAGCTAAGTGGGAAAATTCGCGTTTCGCGTAAATTCGCTGACGAATTTACGCTGGCGTAAATTCGCCGAACGCCAGGGCCCTGTTTTAAATTCGTTAGGAAATTCGTTCCGCCCGGGCAGGAAAAAAAAACCCGGGCAGGCCCAAAAAAAACTTCCTAGGGGGGGCATGGGGGGTTTCAGGGCAACTCTTTCAAACAAGAAAAATTTAGCACAAAATATATATTGCTTCTCAAAGTTTATGGCAATAGCATGTTCGAGAGTTTGGGGGGATCCTTCGCAACAACAGCCTGCAGCAACCTACAGCACCATTAGAAACCATACTCACACATCCCCCACCCAACCCCCCTACCATGCTCCCCTCTACATGTACTCATCTAGCAGCTCCGCATCATCCCCCTCCTCCTCCTCCCTCAATGCCTCCTCATCCAACTCCTTGTACCCCGCGGGGAGAGGCGGGTCAGGGATGTTCCCAACCATCACCCCCATCCCCTCCTCTTCTGCATGCCAGTTGCGCACAACGTTCCAGTTGTGCGCAACATACACCAAATCCGACAGCTTCTGAGACCCCAACCTGTTGCGCCGGGCGGTGTGGATAGCATCCCACACCGCCCAGTTGCGCTCACAGGAGGCAGCCGACACAGGCTGTGTCAGCACACGGCGCGCAAGTGTCGTGAGCAAGGGGTGGTCGGTGCCGTGCCACCGCCACCATGCCTTCATGGTGTGCGTGCCCTCCTTGACCAACTGCCGGTCAGTAATGGCCTCCTTCTTGCCAAAGCTCCCCCCTTAACTCCAAGTAATCCGCCAGCCCCTCCTGTATGACAAGGGTTGCACGCTTGGGCGGTCCCCTCTTCTGAGGGACCATGACCCCCTCGTAGTGGCGCTGCACAAAATCCTTGAACACGTTCGTGCACTCCACGTCGGGGCCGAATATGTCCGCTGACTGGTTGATCGGATTAAGAATCCGACCAACCACATGCAGCGGGCAGGCCAGGCTCCCATCCCAACGCGGTGTCACGATCTCATTAATAGCACTCTTAGCCGTCGACGTCAGCACGTCGTGGGTCTCCTTCTTCAGCAACGCCTCCATTTGCTCTGTAAGCAGCAGCATCTTGTCATACAGGCTTCCCATCATCCCCTTCTTCTCTGTGTCTGTCGCCCGCATGACATTGAATGGGAGCTCCAGCACCCTAGTGAAGAGCTCCGCCTTGGGCCACCACTCATTCTTCTCATCCAAGATCTGCTTCTTGAACGCATCTGCTGCTGCCTTCCTCGACCCCACCGCCCAATTCTTCTTCCACAGCTCACTCACCACCATTCTCTCTAGGATCTCGTGCACGGCAACAAGGCGGGACACAGCAATGTACTGTGTCCCGAAGCGAGTCCCTGCAGGCCTCAGCACCTGTAGCCCCTTCCCCCCCGCGACGTCGGGATTTTCAACGTACTGGCGGGTCCAGTGGTGGCTGCGCATGTACGTGATAATGTCGCTCGCCTCCTTCACCACGCCAGTGGCCCAAGGGAGCTTCCCCACGTCCTCCATCAGCAGATCGAGCACGTGCGTGGCGCAAGGCACGTGCTCGATCTTGGGGAACTCCTGCATCAGTAGTTTGCAGGCGCTGTAGTAGTTGCTGCCGCCGTCAGTGCAGAAGGCAACGACGTTCGCGGCGCCCAGCTTCTCCACGATCGGCCGCAGGAAGCCGGCAATGTAGCCGCCTGTTTTTTTCTCCATCTTGCAGTCGACGCTCTCGGCGAAGACGGCGCCGCTGTCGTTGACGAGCATTATGTTCGCCTGCGGGCGGCCGCGCCGGTCAGTCATCATGTTGCTCGCAATGGTGACGCCAGTGGCGCTCTAGCTCTCGGAAATCCCGATCAGAGCGTCCTCGATCCGGCGGCGGCATTGCTGCAGCCCTGCTCCGCCGATGTACTTGCGTGACGGGGGCACATAGCCATTACCCGCCCTCGCAATGCTCCGCACGGCATTGCGCCAAAGCGGATGATCGGCATGGCGCTCGGGGAGGCGGAGGCCGGCGAACACGAGGCAGATGGCTTCATCCGCTCCCTTCTTCGCCAGCACGCTCCCGCTCATGTACTCGCCAATGCGCCCGCGCTTGCTGCTGGCGCTGGCGCCGCTGACCGCCTCAAGGGCATCCGTATCAGCGCGATCCTGAGCGGCACGGGAGTCCACCTTGGCCTCCTGGAAAGCGCGCACGGCTGTGCGCGCATCCGTAGGGGCTTCGGTGCATTTGCGCACTCCACGCTTGCCCATGCCCTCCCAATCCGTAAGGTGTTGAGCGCAACGGGATGCGGTGCCCATGAAGTCCGCTCCGCAGTGCTTGCACCAGTAGCGCTGCACCCTACCCATTTCCTTGCTCTTAAACTTAAAATGCTGAAAGATTACGTGCTTATCATCTCCAATGAGAGGGGTGGACGAAGAGGCCTCACCTGACGCATCGGCTGTCGCGTCCCCACTAGGGCCCTGATCTGGGAGGTCCGACATCGCTTCTTGGATTCTTGTGAGGTAAGCTTACATCTGCGCGTAAACTAGATCTACTAGCGCGGAGAGTGATTACCTAGATCTACTACTCTACGTCTGGTAGAGTAGCGTGTGAGATGCGTGCGTGATATGGTTGCGTAAGTTGGGTGGTGGATGGGTTGGGATCTCTAGATGCGGGGGGGTTTGATGCGGTTGGGAGCGTGGGAGGGGTTGGGTGCATGTTAGAAGGTTCAAAAGTTAGAATCGCGAATTGGCGAGGCCACGGATGGCATCGCCAAGTCGTCGCGAATCGAGTGGAAATTTTTGTGTTTTTTTGTCCGGGCTGCCCCGAAATTTTTTCCCCAGCGTTTCGCGAATTTCAGGTAAATTCGCGTTTGCGAATTTACGCTTACGAATTTACGCAAAACGCTGGGGGACCCCAACGAATTTGCCCACTTAGGTCAGCAGTCGTTCTCTCTCATGCCATTTGCCAGCTGGCAGGTTGCCGTGTGCTGGCATGCATTCAAGCACTCACGCGCTTCACGCAGTGTACTGAAGAGCATGGGTTTCAATGCATACCATCGCAGACTGAACCCACCAATTGGCTCGTAGCATGAGCGCGACTGCTAACCACCTTCATATTCGGCTTTGCATACTTACGTTTATCTTCACTATTCCTGATCTGATCCCAAGCACTTAGTTGCAAGTCGCAAAAAAACGATGGTCGTTTTAAATGGGCCGTTTAATACGATCGTTTTATACGGCATTTTTTTGAAAAAAGCGCCGTTTTTTTGTTTGAGAACTCCAGTCACAAATTTTTATTATTCAGTCTAAAAACCCCATGGCACTATCCCTGAGGCATACTGCACTGACTATGACAACAGATTCGCCATAAAAGAGGTGACTAGAGCTCCCTACCCCTACCGCCCTGCCCCTACCGTCCCCCCCCTACTATTCCTAAACCTCCTCCACTTTCCCCATGAGCCAAGCTCCCTACCCCTGCTGCTAGCACTGACTGAGCAAGCTAAGATTCCTAGTCTCTGGAATTTGGGATGTACTCCACCTGTTCTGTCGTGCTCCACATTTGTATGTGCTACACTTGGCCAAAAATCGTGAAGGCCGTTTGATGAAGTCGTTGGAAAGGGTGCACACCTCTGGGGGAATTGGGAAATTCGCGACACGACAGGTTCGCGATGTGTCGAGCACATCGCGAACTCATTTTTCAGGCGCGAATCTGTACACCAAGTCACTAGCGACAGTGGGGTACAGTTCGCAACAGCTCCGCAAATTGGATCCAATCCGTGGCTCGGCATTGGCGCCGAGTTGCGTTTCGTCGGAAAATTGTGTCAGCGCGAATCTGACTTTGGAGCGGCACCAAAATCGAGTCGGCCAAACCGACATAATTGGTATACGTCGACACTTGTCGGGTAAAAAAAACGATCGTATAAAATGATTAACTTTTTGCGCCACATGAAAAAAGGGGACATTGACTGCTTTTTATCGTTTTAAACGACCGAATCTTGCGATATCGTTTAAAACGACACAATTTTGAAAAAAACGCCGTTTTTTTGCGCCTTGCTTAGTCGGAAAATAGCACATCGACATAACTTCTCAGTTTCTCACCCATAACCGTGAAACCACAATTGCATCCGATTCCTGATCGTTTACAGCCGTAACAGCTTCAAGATCGCCCTTCTTACAGTTCCCACCCACACTGCCCACTTCTTTTTGCAAGAGGTTTTGTCTCACTTTATCCCTCTATACCTCGTGTTTACAGTGAGCCTTTCCCATTGTCTCTCTTGTTGTCCTCGCCTCTGCGTCTTGTTGTTCTTCTTGCTATTCCTTTGCAGCCGTAAACGCGCTGCACGAGCAGCCCCGTCTCCCCTTCTCCACTGGGCCTCCCCTTCTCCACTGGGCCTCCCCTTCTCCACTGGTCCTCACTCCTCTGCCCTTCGTGCTCATTTGTGCCTTTCTCCTCTCTCTCTCCCTCTCTGCATCCCCCCGTCCAGCCCGAAGGCCACAGCAGCAGCGGCGCTGCCTCCCGCTGCCCCAGTGGGCGCCACGGCGCTGGCCTTCATGCGCCGAGCAGGCGGCCGCATCAGCGTGAGAAGGTGGGTACAGACAAGAGTGAATCAAGAGGAGAGAGCTTTGTTTCAACCATGTGTTGCCACATTGCTCTGGCCTTAATGCCCAGAAAAGGTGTGCTTAGGCTGGGCTGATGGCGTTCTGGGTGGCCTGTCGAGGAAATGAGCAGGCGTCCGTATCATCGACGGGACGTGTGTCTAGGTTCGTTGAACATGGGTTCTGGGTGGAAGAAGCTCGTGGGAGAGGTGGGGGGTTGGAGGGACGGAGAATGTGAGGAGAAGAAGCTATCATGTCAAGAGTTGTCGTCTTCTTTGTTCGGTCTCCATCACTCAGAGTCTGCTTTTCGGCGCGTCACCCCGTTTCCCAGCTTTCCCCTCCCCTTCTCCATTCCCCGCACACCCCAAACCCAGAACCCCTAACCCTGACAGGATCCCTGCGGTTGAACCACAACACAAGTGGAGTGCGCGGCGCGGTGGCTGAAGACACGTTTTCAGCTCCCCCGTGCATGAAGTCATGCTGGTGCTTTTGGTGCTTCTGTTTCCCTCGCCTCCCTCCATAGCTTGCGCCTTTCCACCCCTGCACTTCTCACAGGGACTGGCTGACCGCACGACCCGCAAATCCAACTTGTGGGGCGGCTTGAAACTGCTGCATAGCTCCTTAGAGTGAGAGCTTTTGGGACCCAAAGGGCTCCTCAAAGTGCCTGTTCAACCTACGCCTCTTCTCTCCTTTCCTCGTGTCCCCTCCTCCCCTGCAGGCCTCGCAAGGAGTGGTCTGCTTTTGAACCTCAGGTCGAGTTCTTTCAAACTCCCACTGGTGCACCCGCTGCTGGTACCGCTGCTGGTAACGTTGCTGGTAACGCTGCTGCGGGCGGTACATCCATTGCTGCTCTGGGCCATGGTGGTGCTGCTGACGTGGCTACTCCAGGTCATGAGGACGAGGATACTGGTGCCGCTGATGTGGTTGTTGCTGCTTCCTTTTCTGCGGACGTGGATCTGGACGCCGATGACGAGGCTGGTGCTGGCGAGGACACAGGGAATGGTCTCGGTATTGGTGCTGACATGGAGGATAAAGATATTGGCTATACTGACAGAGATCTTGGCGAAGAGTCGGATGATTTGGGGGGTGTAGAAGAGGATGAAGTGTATCTTTCATCTTATTTACCGAAACGCGGTCCTAGGCATCACATGTGACAAACCCAGAAAACTATTTGTCCATATGGTTATTAGAAAGAGAATTGAATGATTAGAGAGAGAGAGTACACAAACATATACCTAAATGTTGTACTCTCTAGAAGGTGACCCTATACAGTCTATACAAACATGATAACTACACATGTTTGACACACCCCCTGGACTGCATAGGGGAATGTTCTAGACAAGCAGCTCAGGGTGGCACTACTAGTCCAGCCTCTGAGACAAGGGTCTAAAAGACCAGTCAGAAGGAGTACAGACAAGGCAAGAACTAGTACAGGGCGGCACTACTAGTCCAACCACTGTGAGAGGACACAAGTCCAGTCTGAGTGTATACATATATATATACGACAGTACAAAGTCAAGGCCCGAGTAAGTGAGAGACTACAAGAACCAGACCAAGCTGTACACAGTGCCGCTGATGATCTTTAGGCGCAAGCGCCTTCGTAAAGATATCAGCTGTGTTGGCACCGGAGGCCAAGTGTACTACGCGAGCCTGGCGACGCTGCTGTAGCTCGCGCAGGAGGAAGTACCGCAGCTGGATGTGCTTCGCTCTGCCCTCGAGTCGAGGCTCCTGACACAGGAGAATCATGGCCCTGTTGTCAGCGTACAGGACCGGGGCAGAGCTAGGCCGCTCACCTAAGTCAGTGAGCAAGAAGGTCAGCCAGCGGAGCTCCTGTGCCGCCATGGCACCGGCGTAGATCTCAGCCTCACAGCTGGACTGGGCAACAGACGAGGAGCGGGTAGCTCTCCACGAGACAGCACCTGAGCCAAGGCTAAAGCAGTAGCCCTGGGAAGACCTGAGCGTCTCGGCGTCGTCTGCCCAAGAAGCGTCTGTGTGTCCAGTAAGGACCACTGGCCTGCGTCCGCCTAGCACTAACCCCATGCCCGATGTACTTGCAAGATAACGCAAAACCCTCTTAGCGGCAGACCAGTGCTGAGGTCGGTGTCTGCCTGTGGCCACAAAACGAGCCAGGATGCTGAGAGGGTATGCGAGATCTGGGCGAGTGCAAGTCATCAGGTACATGAGGCAACCCACTAGCTCAGCGTAAGGACCACTGGGATCTACCGACTCCTCAGGAACTGGAGCGGAGAGTCTGTGGTCCAGAGGAAGAGGGGTGGGCTGTGCGGAGGAGAACTGAAGGCCGAACCTCTGAAGAACCTGGCGCACCAAGTGTGACTGAGTCAGGGTGATGGTGCGCGCGGCTCTGTCCCTGGAGATCTGCAAGCCAAGGTAACGGCGCAGCTCTCCAAGGTCAGTGCAGGTGTGTCTCTTCAGCAGCTCTGCCTTCACGGAGGCCAGTGCGTCCCTGTCAGCTGTGGCAAAGACCAGGTCGTCTACGTAGACGAGGATGTAGAACGGAGTCGAGCCAGCACGAACGAAGAGCGAGGGGTCTGCAGAGGACGGAAAGAACTGCAGGTCAGCAAGGGTAGCACGCAGCGTGTCGTGCCACTCACGAGGCGCCTGGCGCAGGCCGTAGACTGGGCGCCGCAGAAGCCACTGGGTCCCAGGGGGGAAGGTGCCAGTAAAGCCCTGAGGACGACGCAGGTAGACCTGCTCGTGAAGGCTGCCCTGAAGAAAGGCAGTGGAGAAATCGAGGGAGTGAAGCTCGTAGTCACGCTGAGCCGCTACGTGTAGCAGAACCCGAAGAGTAGTCATCTTCGGGGTAGGAGCGAAAGTCTGAAAGAAGTCCACCCCCTCGCGCTGACTGAAGCCTCTAGCCACGTAACGCGCCTTGAAGACAGGCGGCTCTCCAGGAGGGCGCTTCACCTTGAAGAGCCAACGGCCATCGACCACGTTCACCCCAGGTGGGGGAACTGCGTCGACGAAGGTGCCGGTGGATCTCCAAGATGCCATCTCCTGCTCCATGGCAGCTATCCACTGAGAGGCCCAGGGTCCCGAAACCGCCTCAGCGTAAGTACGAGGGGTCGGGATGTCAAAAGCGTCTGGGTCACCCTCAGGGACTAGCAGCATGGAACAGAGATGGGGAGCAGCCTCGGACAGGAAAGCAAGCTCAAACTGGCGGTCCTCCAGGGCGTCACTGCCGAGGGCAGGAGCACCCCCGACGGACGGAGGACAGGCAGGGTCAGAGACCAGAGCGGAAGCGTAGTCAAGGAGGCGGGTAGAGGCGAAGTCAGCAACCGCAGCGACGAGGGCGTCAAGACTCGACACTGGAACAGACGGGTCGGTAACGAGAGAGGCAAGGACCCAAGGAACAAGAGGACGAGCGGCACGAAAGTAGTCAGACAGAGGAGGAGACGCAACGACAAGAGAAGACGGAGGAGGAGACGGGAGGAGGGGAGGACGAGACGCGTGGGAGCGGAGCAACATATGGTGAGTGCGCGGGACGGGGGAGACAGGACGAGCACGGGAGGGGCGGCGAGACCAGACGTGGGAGGGCGGCGTCGGGTCAGGAGACAGAGGAGGGGACACGGGTGGGGAACGAGGGGGAAAACGAGCCGGGGACGAGTCCGGCGGAGGGAACACGGGGCCGTAGACGGGAAGAGGGGGAGACGGCCGGAGAGGAACAGGCGCAGGGTCAGGGGACGGAAGGCCGAGCAGACGGAGGGCGGACACCGGCGGGGACCGCTGCTGCGGCGACACAACACCAACACCAGAGCCACAAGCTGCGCGACGGCTACCTCCCGAACCCTCCACACCTGCACCCCCAGAAGGGACACCCCCAGAGCCCGAAACCCCACCAGCACCGGTACCACCCCCAGGCCCGCCGGGACAAGCCACGACTGGAGCCCCGGGACTAGTACCCACCTCAACGCCAGCACCCCCAGAGTCCACAAACGGCGGCAGCGACGACAGCGGCGGCGGCGGCGGCGGCTGCAGCGACGGCTGCGACGGCGGCGGCGGCGGAGACGACGGCTGCAACGGCGGCGGCGGTGGAGACGACGGCAGCAGCAGCCGCGGCGACGGCGGCTGCGGAGGCGGTGGAGGAGGAGACACCGGGGGAGGGACAGACGGCGAGGACTGCGCCAAAGGACTACCAGAGTCAGAAGACTCGTCGACCGGAACGACCGACGGGAGGGGGGTGACGTGAGACACACCAGAGGGGGCCGGACGGGGGGGCGGGGGGGGGGAGGGGCAGGGGCCACCAGGGAGGGAGGAACCAGGAACAGGGGGGGAGTAACCGGGGGACCACGGTGGGGAAAGCGGCGGTAGAAGGAGACGGACTCGTCAAAGGTGATGTCGCGAGAGTGAAAGAAACGGTGAGACGGCGGGTGGTAGAAGTGCCAGTCGGACGCGTCAAGGGGGAAACCGAGAAAGACGCAGGGGAGGGTGCGGGCAGTGAGCTTGTCCGTGCCAGAGGCACGAACGTGAGCAAGGCAGCCCCAGACGTGGAACGCAGACGCGTCACCAGGGGACCCGGTCCACAGAAGGGTCGGCGAAACCTGCGGCCGCTGGGGGTGCGGCCACAGGTTAAGCTGGTGAGCGGCGTAGCGCACGGCGAACGGCCACAGAAAATGGGGTGCACCGGCGTGGATCATGGAGGTGCGAGCCACCTCCATGACCAAACCGATGCGTCGCTCAGCGACCCCATTCTGCTGCGGGGAGTCCGGCAGGGTAAACGTCTGGGTGATGCCCTCCGCACGACAGAAGCGACCAAGGACACCTGAGGCGAACTCGCCACCCCGGTCGGAGTGGAGGCGCAAGGCAGGGAGACCGCGGTGGAGACGAGCAGAGACAAGCCAGGGGATGAGAACGTCAGGCACGTCGGCCTTCCGCTCCAGGGGAAAGACGGTGGTGTAACGTGTGAAGTCGTCGACAAGCACTAGGAAGAAGCGCTCGCGACGCGGCCCATGGACCGGGGCTGGGCCCCAGACGTCCATGTGCAGAGTCTGCAGGGGTGCAGTGGTAGGGGGAAAAGAGGAGGAGTGAGGGGCACGGCGGAGCCGGCCCTCGACACAAGGCGTGCACGGTGGGGCGGGGGAGGAGGGAAACTCAGGGAACGAACCGGGGAGACCAAGGACGAGACCGTGCTGGGACATGTGACGCAGACGCGGGAGTGCAGGGTGACCAAGGCGGTGGTGCCAAAGGAGAGTCGGATGAGTGAGGGACCGACAGGAGCACGCAGCAGCAACCTGGGTGGATGCAGCTACCTGGGGGGAAGACCCAGCCGGGGACGTCGCGGTGTCAAGTGTGAACAGGCCGGACACCGGGTCCCGGGGGAAAGTGGTAAGGGGGGCACCAGTGGCGGCCTCGGTACAGACAGCATACCGCTCGTGACCAGGGAACGTAGTGGTGACGCCAAGGTCCTGGAGGCAGCCGACACCAACTAGGTTCCTGGAGAACGAGGGGATATGCAGACCGGTGAGCGAACCTGAAGGAACCGCCGGACAGGGAAGGGAGGTGGAACTGCGGGCAACGACGGGACCACCGGAGGGGTCAGCAAGAGTAACTGCAGCGGGAACAGGCAGCGGCGTCAGCGTCGTGGAGTCGCGGAAGAAACACCGGGAGGTGCCAGAGTCCAAGGTGAAGGAAAGCGCAGCAGTCGCGCGGGGCGACAGTGAAGCGGTGGAAGCACCGAGGCTAAGCAAAGCAGGAGATCCTACGCCTGACGCAGCAGGGGAGTCTACGCTAGGCACAGCTACACTAGGCAACACGGGGTAATAAGAGGGAAGCACACTAGAGTCATCGGCATACATCACATGCAAGGCTGCTACAATGGCATCCATGTCCAAGTCAAAAATCCGAATGCTACGCCTAAGCAAGCTGTGCCAGTCCGGGAGGTCGGGCGCTGGGCCAAAGCGCTGGCGGAACAGGTCGTCCAGACGACGAAAACAGCGAGGAGTGGAGTGACCGATCTTACCGCAAACGAAGCCGCGGCGAGGACCGGTCTGGATCTGGTACTGACAGGGCCCGCCTCCTGAACCACCACCCGGTGCACCACCACGCGCACGACCACCACCAGCTCCAGGCCACCCAGGCGGGAGAGCACTCGCCGGCCTCGTCTGCGGCGGCTGCTGCGGCTGCTGCGGAGGCTGCGGCTGCGGCGACTGCTGCTGCTGCAACGGTGGAGGCAGCGGGGCAGCTGGACCGGGCAGGGTCCCCACGTCCGCACCGGCACCGGACGACCCGCCTCCACCACTACCCCCACCCGCACCCCCGCCGCCTCCGCCGCTCCCAACCTTGGGGCGGCGGCCCTTCCCCGAGCGGGACTGCACTGCAGCAGCAGTCTCAGCCACAGCGACAGAGCCGTCGGAGAAGGTACACTGAGCGGGGGCACAACCCTGAAAGATAGGGACCGGTACTGTACCGCTCGCCTGGGCTATGGAGCGGTGACGAGTCTCTATGGCAGTCAGGGTGTCAACAAAGTCGGTGAGGGTGAGAGCAGCAGGGTGGATGCTAAGGAACTGGTCGCGGGCGGCGGCAAGGCGGTCAGGGAGGCGGGTGGCAAGGAGGTAGAGGGTAGAGGTCATGGGAGGCTGGTGGACTCTAAGCTGTGCATCAGTGCAGGCAGCGCGCCAGGCCTCATCTATCGAGCGCAGGTGGGCAGCGAGGTCAGAGACAGTGGGGGAAAGACGCCAGGTCAGGAAAGAGCAGGGGGAGGATCAGGCGACCCACTGAGGCAGCAGGAGGGGTAGAATAGCGCTTGATGACAGCATCGAGGTAGGCCTGGGCGGTAGTAATGGTTCTAAAGCGAGGGCGCTCAGGGGGGGGGAGGGCATTGCTAATGGCGAGCTGAGCAAGGGCATCGCGGGAAAGCCAGACAGAGCGGGCAAGGGCAGCGGCGGCAGTGGACTCGCGCTCAGCGGGCGTGGGATCAGCGGGCAGCACAGCAGGGGGGTCAGGGCAGGGGAGCATACCGTCTAGGTGTGCAGAAAGCGGGTGGCCGTCCTGCCGCTGACCAGTGAGGTGGCGACGAAGGTCAGCCAACCACGCCTCGAACTCCAGAGGCTGACCCTCAGCATCAAAACGAAGCTCAGCAGCCATGAGGGGCAGTGGAGGACAGTGGAGTGCGGTGTAGTGCTGTGCAGTGCGGTGCAGGGCGGTGCAGTGCGGTGCAGTGCGATGCAGTGCGGTGCAGTGCGGTCCAGTGCGGTGCAGTGCGATGCAGTGCGGTGCAGTGCGGTCAGTGCGGTCCAGTGAGGTGCAACGCGGTGCAAGGCGGGGCAGGAAAGTGCAGGAGGGTGCAAAGTGGTGCGGGGAACGGGGGACAGTACCAGGAAGTATGGAGGGCCGGGGCAGGCGCGACGGGACCGGGCAGGCGCGACGGGGCCGGGCAGGCACGACGAGGCCGGGCAGGCGCGACGGGGCCGGGCAGGCGCGACGAGGGCCGGGGCGGCTGCGACGGGGCCGGGCGGCAGCGACGAGGCCGGGCGGCTGCGACGGGGCCGGGCGGCTGCGACGGGGCCGGGCGGCTGCGACGGGGCCGGGCGGCAGCGACAAGCGGGCGGCAGCGACGAGGCCGGGCAGGACACAGCAGGGCCGGGCGGGCGTGACGGGGCCGGGCAGATGCGACAGGGGCCGGGCAGCTGCGACAGGGGCCGGGCGGGCGCCACGGGGCCGAGAGGCCGCGACAGGGCCGAGCTGGGGCGACGGGGCCGAGCAGGGGCGACGGGGCCGAGCAGGGGCGACGGGGCCGAGCAGGGGCGACGGGGCCCAGGAGGGGCTCGACGGGGCCCAGGAGGGTGGCTACGGGGCCCAGGGAGGAGCGCGGCAGGGCCCAGGAGGGGCGCAACAGGCCCAGGAGGGGCGCTACGGGCCCAGGAGGGGCGCAATGGGGGCCCAGGAGGGGCGCGGCGAGGCCCAGGAGGGGCGCAATGGGGGCCCAGGAGGGGCGCTACGGGCCCAGGAGGGGCACTACGGGCCTAGGAGGGGCGCAATGGGGGGCCCAGGAGGGGCGCGACGAGGCCCAGGAAGGGGCGCGACGGGCCTAGGGACGGCCGCGACGGGGCTAGGAGCACGACGGGGGGGCCCAGGAGGGGCGGTACGGGGCCCAGGGAGGGGCGCGACGGGTCTAGGGAAAGGGGCGCGACGGGGCTAGGGACGGTCGCGACGGGGCTAGGAGCACGACGGGGCCCAGGAGGGGCGCTACGGGGGGCCCAGGGAGGGGCGCGACGGGGCCCAGGGAGGGGCGCGACGGGTCTAGGATAGGGGCGCGACGGGTCTAGGGAGGGTCGCGACGGGGCTAGGAGCACGACGGGGCCCGGCTAGGGGGCGAGCGGAAGCGTGAGGGGGGGGGGGGGGGGGATCCTACCTACGCGTGATACCATATTAGAAAGAGAATTGAATGATTAGAGAGAGAGAGTACACAAACATATACCTAAATGTTGTACTCTCTAGAAGGTGACCCTATACAGTCTATAACAAACATGATAACTACACATGTTTGACAGTTCGGCACACAAGCTGCACAGTTTACCTTCACCTTAGTCACGAGTCGCGGTCAGGGAGCTTCGTAATGTGAGCTTGAACACGTGCACCGAATACTCCCGAGGTACAATAGGTTTTTTCGTTTCACCAAGTTGGCGAAAAGTCATTTGAATCGCGCGCGCGTTTCCCGCCTCGTCGCACTCGCGTCAAATCGGCGCCACTGCGTTTGTATCATTGTTCAGCTGCCCAAAAACGCACCCGCAAAATCGTACTGGGAACCCGTTTTTTTCAAAAAGAACTATTTTCAAGAACGGCGCTCTTGAAGCCCCCCCATGCTATTTTAGCCTGTGGTTTTAAGACACCACGGAAATATCAAATACACAAATGAACAATGTCCCCAAAGATTGCGACAGTTGAACCCTCTCCACATACTTCATTCAACACGCTTGGGTCTAACCTTGTATAATACAAACAAACCATCTCAACTCAGTCGTTTACCGGCATTTTCCAACCTTGTTTTGTCAGGCTTGTACATAAATCGCACATCGCCACAATGAATCCTTGAAATTATTTCCGAACCAGCTAAAAACTGCCCTCAAGGTCCATCTCTTCATCTCCATCGTCACCACCATCATCACCATCCTCCTCCTCATCCTCATCCTCATCTTCAAACCCCAATGAACCCAGTGTCCCCATGCCGTGATGGTGCTGCTGATGCTGGTGGTGGTGCACGCTCCGAATCTCCCTCAGAAGAGCCTTGGCATCTTCCTTCGCCTGCGAGAAATGCTCGAAACAAACACAAACGAACGTAAACAAAGTCAGTTACTAGGTGCATGAACAGCTTAGAAGGTGAAAGGGTAGGTTATAGCATCTGTGCATGTGGGATGAATGCGTTCAGAAAGCTTTCATGTTGAAAGCAGGTTGCAGCCAACAACATGCATGACATGTTCTCAGCTAAGAATAAACCACAGATAGGATCCACCATCATGTTATCCACACCTGTAAGAATTCAAGGGCCGCCAAAAGTCCAGCAGTCGTGTGGAGTATCTCTCGGCCTCTGCTAAGCTGCCCTCAGAGCGATGGTACATGGCGAGGAACAGAAGAGATTTTACCAGTCAGCCACTTACCAGCAAACTACTGAAACTCACAGGGCCGCAAAAGTCCATGCGGAGCATCTCTCGGCCTCGCCAAGTCCCCTGGGAGCGGTGGTATGTGGTTAGGAACAGAAGAGCCTCCACCAGTAGCCAGCTGCCACCGGTGTTTCATCAGAACACACTAGGGGAACTCACAGGGCCGCCAAAGTCCAGCAGGCGTGTGGAGTATCTCTCGGCCTCGGCAAAGTCCCCCTGGGAGCGGTGGTACGTGGCCAGGAAGAGAAGTGCCTCCACCAGCTCCGGCCCCTCCACCTGCTCCCCGTCCATGCGGTCCAAATTGCGCCTGGCGTAGGGGGAGCACATACAGCAGATTGGGGAATGGGAATGCAGCTGATGGGAACACAAGAGCCTTCAGTTAATCGGATCATCGCACTTAATAAGGATCTGCATGCTTGCGCCACATTGTGCTCTCGTCCGCGTGCGTTTTTCCCTCTCAACTGACTCGTAGAAGAGAGCCGCATGCCGCATCTGCTTGTGACGTTGAAGTGAGGGGCACCGCTTGTGCAGCACCCCTTATGCAGCACCCCTTGTGCAGAGCCAGCCCCTCGCCCACCTGCTACACACCCACACCCCACCTCCCTATCCTCCACCTGCTGCCCACTTGTAGAAGAGAGCCGCAAGCAACATCTGCCCCACGCCCTCGAAGATCTTCGACAGCTGGTGCAGCGCCAGCCCCTCGCTCTCGTTGGTGGTGATGGCGTGGCGATAGCACCAGATGGCCGCCTGGGGCTATTCCCCACTTCCCCACTTTACCCCCCTTTACCCACCCCTTTACCCACCCCTTTACCCACCCCTTTACCCACCCCTTTACCCACCCCTTTACCCACCCCTTTACCCACCCTTTACCCACCCCTTTACCCACCCCTTTACCCACCCCTTTACCCACCCCTTTACCCACCCCTTTACCCACCCTTTACCCACCCCTTTACCCACCCCTTTACCCACCCCTTTACCCCCCCTTTACCCACCCCTTTACCCACCCCTTTACCCACCCCTTCACCCACCCCTTCACCCACCCCTTTACCCACCCTTTACCCACCCCTTTACCCACCCCTTTACCCACCCCTTTACCCACCCCTTTACCCACCCCTTTACCCACCCTTTACCCACCCCTTTACCCACCCCTTGCTCACTTGTAAAAATGAGCTGAATGCCACGCCCTCGTATTCCTTCGACAGCTTGAGCAGTGCCAGTCCCCTCGCTCTCAAAATGCTCTTCCCAACTTCCTTCCCTTTCTGCTCTGAACTCACTCGTAAAAGTGGGCAGCACGCCTCATCTGCCCAATGCCTTCACACAGCTTCGACAGCTAGTGCAGCACCAGCCCCTCCCCCCAACCTTACTCCCTTATCCCCCACCTCCTTCTTACTTGTAAAAGTGCGCAGCACGCCTCATCTGCCCGATGCCTTCGTACAGCTTCGACAGCTAGTGCAGGGCCAGCCCCTCGCTCTCATAGCTGGCGATCATCCCCTCCCTTGGGCAGCTAGAAGGGGACTCCCCTTCCCTCGCAGCTCCTTTTCCCCACTCCCATACCCCTCAACACTCGCGTACAAATGAGCCACACGTCACATCTGCCCGCCTGCTGCCCTCATACAGTGCAGACAGCTTGTGCAGGCCAGTTCTCATCTCCAAATCACACCTCCCGCCATTTTACTTGCTACGTGACTTTTGAGTCGACTAAAAACGACGTGACTTTTGAGTCACTCAAAAGCCAGCCTCCAATCTCCAACTCACACCTCCCACCCCTTAACTCACTTGAAGAAATTTGCAGCGTGCCTCATCTGCCCCATGCCCTCATACAGCTTCGACAGCTTGTGCAGGGCCAGCCCCTCCCCCCAACCTTACTCCCTTATCCCTCACCCCCTTCTTGCTTGTAGAAGTGGGCAGCACGCCTCATCTGCCCTTCGACAGCTAGTGCAGGGCCAGCCCCTCGCTCTCGTTGCCGGCGATTCTACCGCACCAGCCCCTTTTCCCACTCCCCAGCCCATCAACACTCTGCTTTTGAGTCCATGCCCATCAACACTCTGCTTTTGAGTCCATGCCATCAACACTCTGCTTTTGAGTCCATGCCCAGCAACACTCTGCTTTTGAGTCCATGCCCAGCAACACTCTGCTTTTGAGTCCATGCCCAGCACACTCTGCTTTTGAGTCCATGCCCAGCAACACTCTGCTTTTGAGTCCATGCCCATCAACACTCTGGTTTTGAGTCCATGCCCATCAACACTCTGGTTTTGCGTCCATGCCCAGCAACACTCACTAGTAAAAGGGGGCTGCATGTCTCACCTGCCCCATCACCTCGTAGCGCTTCGACAGCTTGAGCAGCCCCTTTCTCTCAACTGCTGCTCCCCACCCCCCCAATTTCTGTGCGCTTTTCTCCTCTGAACTTACTTGTAAAAGTGCGCCGCATGCCTCATCTGCCCCATGCCCTCATAGAGTTTAGACAGCTTGTGCAGCGCCAGCCCCTCGCTCTCATTGCTGGCGATGGCGCGGCGATAGCACCGGACGGCTGCTTGGGGCTGCTGCAGTTGCTGAGCTCGTAGCACTGCCCCATGGCACACCACATGCGCGAGTCGTGGGGTCGCAGAGAGGCCGCTTTACTGCAGGGGATAGGGGGAGGGAAGGTACGGCACAGGAAGGCGATGGCTGCTTGGGCTGCTGCAGCCCCATGGGACACCAGAAGGAGATGGTGGCACAGCAGGCGAGCAGGAGACAGCAGTGTACGGCTGCTGCTGGTTGCTGCTGCAGTTGCTGTGCCTCGTAGCACTGTCTCATGGCACACCACATGCGCGAGTCGTGGGGCCGCAGGGGGCCGCAGGGGGCCGCAGGGGGGCTGCTTTTCTGGATGGATGAGGGGTGGGAAGACGGGAGGAACAGAGGGAGTGAGTAACAGGATAGCACCGGATGGCCGCTGCTGGTTGCTGCAGCTGCTGCGCCTCGAAGCACTGCCCCATGGCACACCACATGCGGGAATCGTGGGCCGCAGGGAGGCTGCTTTCCTGTTTGGGGTAGTAGGATAAGACACGGGGGGGAGAGGGAGGGTGGCGCATAGAACCGGATGGCTGATGGCCACATGTGCGATTCATGGGGACGGGCCACATGGGAGAGAGGCCGCTTTTCTGCAAGGAGATGGTGGCACAGCAGGTGAGCAGGAGACAAGAGTGCATGGCTGCTTGGGGTTGCTCCAGCTGCGGAGCCTCATAGCACTGCCCATGGCACACCACATGTGGGAGTCGTGGGGCCGGAGAGAAGCGGCTTTACTGCAGGGGAAAAGAGGGAGGGAAGATATGGCACGCGAGGGAGAGGGAGAGTGGGCGATAGCACCGGATGGCCGCTTGGGGCTGCTGCAGCTGCTGGGCTTCGTAGCACTGCCCCATGGCACACCACATGCGCAAGTCGTGGGGTCGCAGGGAGGCCGCTCTTCTGCAGGGGATAGGAAGACAGGACATGGGGGGGCAAAGGGCGTGAGTAAGGCGATGATACCGGATGGCTGCTCGGGGCTGCTGCAGCTTCTGGGCCTCGTAGCACAGCCCCATGGCACACCACATGCGCGAGTCGTGGGGTCGCAGGGAGGCCGCTTTCCTGCAGGGATAGATGATAGGGAAGATAAGGCACAGGAGGGAGAGGGAGAGTAGGTGATTGCACCGGATGGCCGCTGGTGGCTGCTGCAGCTGCTGCTGCGCCTCGTGGCACTGCCCCATGGCACACCACATGTGCGAGTCGTGGGGCCGAAGGGATGCCCCTTTACTCCAGGGAATAAGGGGGAGGGAATATACGGCAGGGGAGGGAGATGGAGAGTGGGCGATAGCACCGGATGGCCGCTGCTGGCTGCTGCAGCTGCTGGGCTCCGTAGCACTGCCCCATGGCACACCACATGCGCAAGTCGTGGGGTCGCAGGGAGGCCGCTTTTCTGTTTGGGATAGGGAAGATAAGACACGAGTGAGAGAGGGAGAGTGGGCGATAGCGCCGGATGGCTGCTTGGGTTGCTGCAGCTGCTGCGCCTCGCAACACTGCCCATGGCACACGACATGCGCGAGTCGTGGGGCCGCAGGGGGGGCTTTTCTGTAGGGGGAAGTGTCGGGTAAAAGGGAAGAGGAGGAGCAAGGGCGGAAGCACCGGATAGCTGCTGCAGGCTGATTATTGAGAATTCTCAAAAGTCACCTACAACTTGAGAATTCTCAAAACTCAACTTTTCTGCAGGGGGTGAAGTGGAGTGTCAAGGAAGCAGGGAGAAGAAGGAGCGAGGCTGCTCTGGAGGACGGAAGCACTGGAGAGATGCTGCAGGCTGCTGGGTTTGGGAGCCTGAATCATACGTGGCAGACAGCTTGAATCATACGTGGCAGACAGCTTGAATCATATGTGGCAGACAGCTTGAATCATACGTGGCAGACAGCTTGAATCATGCGTGGCAGGCAGCTTGAATCATACGTGGCAGACAGCTTGAATCATGCGTGGCAGACAGCTTGAATAATGCGTGGCAGACAGCTTGAATAATGCGTGGCAGACAGCTTGAATAATGCGTGGCAGACAGCTTGAATAATGCGTGGCAGACAGCTTGAATAATGCGTGGCAGACAGCTTGAATAATGCGTGGCAGACAGCTTGAATAATGCGTGGCAGACAGCTTGAATAATACGTGGCAGATAACCCCACCTTTTGAAGCGCCTCCAGCCACGACCAGCTGCTGAATCCCCTTAAACCATCTGCAAGAATCACTGATAGTAGAAGTGCACGTAGAAGGGCATGGCAGGCTGCCAGAGATGGTAGAGTGCCGCATGGTGTGGCACGGTGTGGCACAGTGTGGCATGGTGCCACACTCAACTCACCGGTAGTAGTAGAGTGCATAGCAGGGCATGGCGAGGATCTCATACGTCTGCCCGAGCCCCTTCTATGTGACCGTTGAGTCAACCCAGCAGTCACCAGGCATCACTTGTCCCAACACTCACCGGTACTAGTAGAGCGCGTGGCAGGGCATGGCGAGAATCTTGTACGTCTGCCCGAGCCCCAAACCCACACTGCCTAACCCCCAATCACCAACCTACTGGAATAAAAGCTGGCTCTAGACTAGACTCACCGGTAGTAGTAGAGCGCGTAGCAGGGCATGGCGAGGATCTCGTACGTCTGCCCGAGCCCGTACCACGCGCGGTAGTCCCTCGGGTTGATATCCACGGCCCGCCGGTACGACTGAATCGCCCCCGCGCTGTTCTTCAGCTCCACGTACTCGTGCCCCATGAGCGTCCACGCCGACAGGTAGCGGCGGTCGAGGCGCAAGGCGCGGCGGAAGTAGGCGACTGCGCGCTCGTGGCGGCCCTTGAGGGAGAAGTAGTTGCCCACAATGCAGCACGTCTCAGGACGTACTTGTCTATGCAGGTCACCTGGAGAAGGGGGGGGGGGGGGGGGGAGGAGTCAGGGTGAATGGGAGAGAGGAAAGAGGGGGGGAGGGAGGCCAAAGGCCCTTGAGGGAAAAGTAGTTGCCCACGATGCAGCACGTCCCAGGGCGGTACTTGTCTATCCGAGTGACCTGAGGGGAGGATAGGGGAATTGCGAGTGAGAAACGAGGAGGAGGGTGAGATGGAATGAGAGACCATAACGATCCTCGAGGAAGAAGTAGTTGACCACGATGCAGCACATCGCAGGGCAATACTTGTCGATTCGGGTCACCTGAACAGGGGGAAATGCAGGTGACAAGGGGATTTTGAGGCGCCTCAAAAATCTGAACAGGGGGAAATGCAGGTGACAAGGGGAGAAAAGGTGGGTGCACAGGGGCCTGGGAAAAGCCTGCGTCACCCTGCAGAGTTTGCTGTTTCTTCCTCCCTTCAGCTCCACATACTCGTGTTCCATGAGCGTCCACGCCGACAGGTAGCGGCGGTCGAGCCTTAAAGCCCTGGCGGAAGTAGGCGACTGCGCGCTCGTGGCGGCTCTTGAAGGAGAAGTAGTTGCCCCCT